TTTAATAATATTACCCGCGTAATAATAATTAATAATAATTTATTAAAGTATTTATAGCCCTTTATTATAAATAATATAACTTATTTAGTAAATTACTTCCCGCGCCTAAAACATGTAAATCCTAAATTATTTATATAAATTTAGCAGGAGTATTAATATATTAAAGATTTTAAGCCTTTAATAAGTATATTTAAAGTTTTTAAATACCGCGCCTGGGTTTATATTCCTAAAAAAATTATATTTAATTAAAAAAAATAATACCTTGGGCGCGAGTTAAATATTAAATAAAATATAAAAAAATTATAGCTATATTTAACATGTTTATATATTATTAAAGTGTAAGCTTTATAAATCTTAAGATATTATTATTAATAAAAGCTATATATATAAAAATAATTATATTAATAAACGCCTAACAGCCGCAAATCTTATTAAAAAACCTATAAATAAAAATCCAGGCGTTATTATTATAGTTATTAATAAGGTAATATTAAAAATTATTTAAATTATTAACCGCGAGGTGCTTATAATATATTATTTTAAGCATGTAGTTACCCGCGAGAAGGTAAAGGCTATTAAGGTAAATTATTAATATATTATTACTTAGCAGGAAAAAATATAATTTATAAAGTTTTAAAGCTAGAAATACCTTTAAATACGCCTAAGAAATTAAAAAATTAGGCGCTTATAATTATAATATATATATATAATAAACTACGCTATTATAAAAGGTAATTTAAAAATAAGTTAATTTCTTGGTTAATATAGCGCGAGAAATCCTTAATAATTTAAGTAAGAATATAAGTTAAATATTATTAAAGCTATTTTTTACACCTACTATTTATTTAACGCCCGTAAAGGGGTTATTAATTTAACTAATACTTATAAAAGGGCTATTAGTTTTTTAAATACCTATATAAGAGTTATTTATTATTAAATTTTTTACTTTTATAATACTATTTTTAAATTTTATATTAACTTTAGAAGTGCTATATAATTAATACCTAAATTTTAATATTTACTTATAATAGTAAGGTTATAAACACCTACTAGGTAAGGTTAAAGCTTGTATTAAGTAAAAAGTATAAAAGCAAGATTTATAATTAGTAAATATAAACTTATAAATTACAAGTAATATAACATGTAAAAAATAATATTAAAAGTTATTTAAAAAAAGTAAAAATATTTAAATAGTTATATATTTTTTAATTAGATTTTAATAATTTAATATTACTTAGGTAAAAAATAATAAAATTATATTAGTATAATACTATAAAAAATTTAAAGTATTAGTACTTATTAAAAGGCTGTTAGCGTTATTATTATTACTAGTAAATTATTATTTAAGCTATTAGCGCTGTAAGGTGTAATAGCTAGGTAATAATTAGGCTGCTAATAAGGCTAAGTAGGTTACTAAGCTAGTAAAAAAGTATAAAATATGTAAATATATAATAGGCGCAGCGTTAGATTTTATTAGTAATAATAAAAATATTAATACTAGTAATATTATTATACTAAATAACTATAAGTAAGTTATAAAGTTAAAGTATATAAACTAATAGCTAGTGGTAATAAAGTATTAAATTAATAATATTACTAGTATAAAGGCTTATAAGGTTATTTACTGCCTAAAAGGCGTAAAATTTTTTAATAATAAATAGGTATTCGCGCTTAAAATAAATAAATATAATAAAGTTAAATACTTTAAGGCGTGCTAGGTTATATATAATAATTAATAATAGCTAGGTATTAACTTTATAAATAATATTATTTTAATTTTTTTAAATATTACCATGCAAATATTTTAAATAATAATAATTATACTTAATAAGTATATTAAATAAATAAATATTATTATTACCTATCTTCACGCGGTATTAAAAAATTAAAAAATTTATATATACTAACCTTAAGGCCTTGCTAAGGGTAAATTAAGTAATATTTAACTATTATTTATAATACTTTATAATTTATGTTAATTAGGCTATTTTTAGTTTAAAAAACTTAAAAAAAAGCTTATTTAAATAAGATTTAAATTATTATTAGTTAAACCCTGCATTTATTATAAAGGATTAGCGTTTATAATAGTTTATATTAATAATTTAATTATTATTAATAATACTAAGGAGCTTATTAATAAGATTTAAAAAGAACTTAATAAGTTTTTTAGTATTAAAATAATTAATAAGCTAGTAAAGTTTTTAGAATACGCTGTTACTTATAGCTATAAAAATAAAATAATTTTAATAAGTTAAAAATTATATGTTATAAATTTTTTAAAAAAGTTAGGTTTATAAAACTATAATAACTTTACTATTTTTATAAATTTAATATACTATTTATATTACCGCAAGATTGCTTTAAAAAATATAAAAATTAAATAAGTAAATATAAAAAATATATTAAAAGCGTTTTTTAAAAAGTATATAATTTTTTATGGCTTGTTAAATTAGCTAGTTACTAAAACTTAATTAAATATAGCTTATATAATATTCCATCTATAGTATTATATAAATTTACCTTTAAATTATAATTTAAAGGCTATAAAGGGACTTTTTAAATACCTTTAATATATAAAGTTTAACCTTGTTTTAGACCTTTAACCTAATAAAAATAAGGAGATTTATATTAATACTTTATATTAAAATTATAAAAATAGGAAGTTATTTAAGGGATTTATTATTTATTATATAAGTTTACTAATTTACTAGGGTGTAAAAAAGTAAACTATTATTACTTTATTATTTATTATTATAAAATTTATTATATTTAATAAAGTTATTAAAAAAATATTTTATATTTAAAAGCTTGCCATAGCGCTGGGCATTTAAAAAAAAACCTTTAAATTAATAATTATTAATATAAATAGCGCTAATAGCGTATGTATTATTTAAAAAATTAGGTTTAATAATATAATTAAATAAATTAATAACTAATATTTTTTTATTAAAAACCTTTATAAACAGGGCATTATTATATTTAATTATATTAATAATAAAAAAAATCTTGCTAATAATTTTATTAAGCTACTTAATATAATTAATTTTAATAAATTTTAAAAAGCCCTTAGGCTAGTTAGTAAAAATAATAAGTATTAAAAAATTTAATATTTTATTTTTTATATATATTAATTTTAAAATATAGCATGTAATATAATATAAAAATACTTTATATTTAAATTATTATATAAAACTTATTTTTTTTTATTTAAAAAATCTTACTAGCCTTATAACCTTTTACCTAGGGGGCCATGTTAAAGGTAGCTAGTTAAAAATTAAAAAATAAGTTATTTAGGTTAAGTAACCCCATGCTACCGCCCACTATCTAGTAGCCATGTTATTCTTAGTTTCTTAGTACTCTCTTAATACTATTAGAGTTCTTTGCTCATCAATTAATTATAAAGTTTTTTTAAAATTACTAATTTATAGCCTAAATAATTTACTATATTAATAATATAAGCTACTAGTAGCTAGGTTAGTGTAAAAATAAGTAAGTAAGTAAGTAAGTAAAAAAAAAGGTAATATTATTATTATTTTTAGTATTAACTATTATAATAAAAGAAATATAAAAAATTAAGGGTTTATAAATTATAGGTTTATATAAGCAGGCTATATATTACTTATATAATTTATTTTTTTATTATTTTTTAAACACCTTTATTAAATTTACTATTATTATGGTTATTAAAGAAAGTGTTACTATTTAAAATAGGTTATTAATAAAAGTGTTAAATATTAAACAGGCTGTTAATAATAGTATTTTTAATATTTTAGGCAGGATAAACTTTATTCCGGCCACGCGCATTACTCCCGGTATTAAAGCTTGCGCCTAAGAAATAACAGGACCTACATACCAGTTACCCACTTCTCACCGTTGCATGTGGAACCTTGGATGGTGCATATGTCTACCAACCCCTCTAGGGCTCTACTCTCTGGAGATTAAATCATAACTTGAATATTCCATAGATGGTAGGTAGACATCCATGTAGGCACCAATACTTCTCGGTGCATCCGCCCCTGCTTAGGCCAATCGCACTACTAGGAAAGCTACTCGGAAGTACTTACCAAGGCCTCATCAAAATCTAGACCGTAGGGAGCCTTCTTATAAAAGCTCGCAGTGCCCTCTAATCTCCCAGGCGCACGGGTCAACTCTGGTCCACGCGCTGCAGGCCAGAGGCGGTCTGGGGATGTTGCCAACACGGTGGGATTTGGCTGTTGGATACTAGGCATTTGGTAACACGATGATATATAGCCGACAGTTGGCTCTTGATATGTGTTTTTATCAGGGTGAGTGACATTTCCATTGCGTGCTCAATAGCTGAATACAAAGTGGCTTGGTATTAGCCCGAGCGACCATCAAACCCCGTAGATGTCGCACCAGCAGAGCAAGTTTTGACCGCAGAAAAGCGCGGTCTTTTGAAAGCTTGAGATAATCTTCTGGGTCGCCCTAGGAGTTTTGAGGTGAGGGGGACAGCTACAGAACGGAGGTCCACGTCGGATTCTATGAATGCAAATCAGTCGCTCTGGGACCGAACTAAGCATATCAACCAGGCTCGGACGGGGAATATTGCAGGTGTAGTTTAGAAATACCACCATCCGGGTATAGATAGTTGGTCATAGTGTCCGGGCTTTCCAGGTGCACCAGATACTTTCCCATTTGCCTGCCGTGGAATGGTGGCAAAGATAACTGTTATCTATCCAGGATATGGGAGTGAGGCCCCAGACCAGCTGTCACAGGAGGCCTCACAGGATATCACTTCGATGATGCATGCCATTGGCATCAAGACGCGGTAATCAGAAGGCAAGAGCCAGTGCATGAAAAAAGAACACAAATAACGGCATTGCGGTTTCTGCGCGTTATCCGGGCGCCGTTCTAATCTCGTTAATCTGACATATTTAGACCCATCCATATTCCCCTTCACAGTGCACCTATCGATGCATTGGCCTGGAACAAAACATCCGAATACATCAAGCCCTGGGTATATAGGAGCAGCGCAGCATCTAGATACTAAACGCCAACCCCCCATTCGCCGAAATAATACTGCCAGTACACCACCCAAACTCGGGATTACAGATCGTCGCAACAAGTCCCGCAATCTCCTCCGCGTACGCCGCGCGCCCCCCAAACTTCTCCCCCAACTTCTTGACCTCTGCACTATCATTCTCCCTAACGGCCACAAGCGGCGTCAACGGGTTCCACTTCGCCAACCCCTCCTTAACCTCATCCGGCGCAGAGAGATACATATCCGTCATGACCGGACCGGGGTTAATAGCATTGACGGTCGCACGCTCAGCCAGCTCACGAGCCCACACGCGCGTCATGGCTTCAATGGCCCCCTTTGTCCCGGCGTAAAGCGTGGTGCTCTCCGTCCCAACCTTGGAGTTTATGCTGGAGAGCATGACGATGCGGCCGGAGCGGTCGGTGGGGAGGTACGGCTTGCAGGCGGCGGTGAGGAGGATAGGGCCCAGGACGTTGACCTCGTAGATGCGGTGGAAGTCGTCTGGCACGACGGATTCGAGGGGGCCGAGGGAGAGGATCGCGGCGTTGTGGACGACGATGTCGATTTGGAAGGGTGATGAAGCGGCACCGGGAGTGTTGGACGCGAAGAATTCTTTTGCGGTGGAGACCAGGCGCTCGCATTCGGCTTTGTTGGAGATGTCTGCGCGGAGGGGGAGGGCGGCGATTTTGTGCGTTTCGGTGAGTTCTTGCGCGAGCGAGGAGGCGGATTTGTCGGACGACGTTGTTGCGTAGTTGATTATCACGTTGCAGCCTTTGCTGGCGAGGTTGCGGGCGATGGCGGCGCCGATGCCTGCTCGTTCATCGATTAGATCGAGGAACTTCTGGGTTGATATGGTGGGCTTTAAGACATACTTCGTGCCGAGCCAGTGACAAGAGCGAGTTTGCCCTCGTAGATCCGGGGAATGTTGTGGCCATTTGAGATGCTGCCCATGATGACTGAGATTGCGTAGGATATGAGTAAGAAGAAAGAGTGCAGACCAATCTAGGGGGGGAATAGTGCTGATATATCGGTCTGGATGGATCTAAAATCCCCGAGCCGAATGGGCTCTTCATTGCATGTAATCCTGCATTACTGAGACTTCTAGGCACTGCCTCGTGGCCCACAGGCTGTGTCCCTGCCACGGCGAGCATTACTTATACGGGTATAGTTTTTCATCTCCTCGTGTTTACGTACATGATGCTCTCTACCACTTTGACAAGAACCCTCCATCAACAGGCAGCGTAATCCCATTGACGTACGATGAGTTATCACTCGCAAGCCATAAACTCGCCTGCGCAACCTCATGAGCCTGACCAAACCTATTCAGACTACTAACTCTGGGCGCAAACTCATCGTGCGTCGTGCCCATGATCTCGAGCGCTTTAGCAGACATCTCGCTCTTACCACTCGTTAGCACCACCACCATAAGAACAACAAATGCAAGAAGTCAACTTACAAAAATTGCCCCCGGCGCAACCGCATTAACCCTCACCCCCAACGGCCCTCCCTCCGTCGCCGCATGCTTCGTCAACCCAAGCAGCGCATGCTTCGTGCTCGTATAAGCCGGCATATTAGGCTGCGGCATGAACGCGTTGATGGAGGCAATGTTCACGATCGACCCCCTCGTCCCCTGGCTGCGCATCTGCTGCATCTCATACTTGCAGCACAGCGCCGTCCCCGTAAGATTCACGTCGACCAAACGGCGCCAGTACTCCTCATCGGTCTCAACGAGCGCCGTCTGATCCGGGCTCATGGCGGCATTGTTGATGGCTACATCCAACCGCCCGAAGAACGCGACCGTCTGGGAAATGAGATTCCGGACGTCGTCGGAGTTCGAGATGTCTGTCTTCACGAACCGCACTTCGCCGAGGCTGGCGAGTTCAGATGCAACCGCTTCGCCCTCCTCAGCTTTTACGTCCGCGATGACGACTTTTGCGCCCGCGCGCACGAACACGCTGGCGGTGGCTTTGCCCATCCCCTGGGCGCCGCCTGTGACAATGGCGACTTTGCCCTTGAGGACCGGGAAGATGGGGGCTTCGGGGAAGTCCATTGCTCTGGTTTGCTGGGCAATTCGAAGGAGCGTAGATTGATTGTTGGATGTGGCAGATAGAACACGGGATATGAGGAGGTAAGACAAGGATCGCCTGGTAAAGCGCGACCAAAGCTGTCCCTGGCCGCGAAAGCACTTTATGTGCCCCGCGGCCTGGCCATCTTGACCGACATTTGCAGCAGCCGTGCCTGGCGGCCGATGGGGAGAGGCGGCACGGGGCGAGACACCGGTGGGCGTGGCGTGCCGCTACCTGGGCGGGACGGCTTGCCCTAGCTTGCCCCCGCTGGCGTGGCGGCGCCACCTGTGGGGATGTCTTATATTGCCGTATAAGTCATTGAGCCCTAAATCCTTAGTCTCGGAGTCTGCCTGTTCACGGATACCAGACTGCGATAGTTGATGGCTTTATGCCGTGCCAAGAGGCCGTGGATGTACCAAGCAAGGCAGAAGAAGCCGCCGTTGACATTGCTACTGCAGCTAGGGTGCTAGTTGGGGCAGCTGCAGCCCGGGCCCCGTAGATTGACGCTGGAGCTAGCTCGGACTACTCAACGACCACCCTGGGGCATTGCTGGCGCCATCTCCATATCCCCTGTCCACGGTGGCCACGCGGCGAGGACGTCGCTCTGTGAACGGCGCACGGTTCTAACTTAGGACAGTTATGGGCTGACAATCTATACCGTACTATGTCTGGAAGGGGACAGGATAGGGGTAAGCCCTGGTATCTGCAGAATTTTCAACCGGCCTGATACTTAATTACCGCGGCAGAGATGGACTGGGTTTGTGTCCTTTCTCTCTCCTTCAGCTTTGTCTCGGTAGCATTGTTGGGCAAGGCCTGGGGTGTCCTATCTTCACCATGTTCGTCTCAGAGAAAGACAACCCTGTTGTCGGTGTGCGCGGCATCAAGGGCGAGGTTCCGGAGACGACCTTGATCAACATCTTAGTATACCACCCTCCACCCTCAGTCTCCTGATAATTCTAACCCACTACCCAGGTCATCATAACCTCCTGCCTCGGCGGCTTCACCTACGGCTTCGCAGCCAACGCCGCATCCGGCACGCTCTCCCAAACAACCTTCATCGCCAAGTTCCTCAGCGGCCCCGACTCAACCGACATCCAGGATGGCCTGCTCTCCGGGTATGCCACATCTCCGCCTCAACCTCACCCAACTAACAATTCAAGCAGCTTCCTCGGCGGCGCCTTCGTCGGCGCAATCCTGCAAGCCCCCCTCTCCACGAAACTCGGCCGCCGCCCCGCAAACATGGCCGCCGCCTTAATCGTCACCATCTCCGGCGCGCTCCAAGCCAGCGCCGTCAACATAACGATGTTCATCGTCGCCCGCATGATCTGCGGCATCGGCGCGGGGATGGTCTTCGCCAACACCCCCGTCTACCTCGCCGAGGTATCCCCGCCCCATACACGGGGGATCCTGGTCGGGCTCAACGGCGTGAGCGTTGTCACAAGCTACATCATCTGCGCGCTGTGCGCGCTAGCCTTCAGCTTCGTCACGAGCGATGTCCAGTGGCGGCTGGTATACATCGTGCTCACGGCCATCGGCGTCCTGCTCTTCGCCTCGCTGTTCTTCATCTTCGAGTCCCCGCGCTGGCTGACGGAGGTGGGGCGCGACGACGAGGCGCGCGCTGTGCTCGAGTACCTGCACGGCACGAAGAGCGACCGTGGCGCGAGGTTCGCGCACGCCGAGGCAAAGCAGATCAAGGCGCAGGTTGAGGCTGAGCGGACCGCGGGGCGCGGGTATGTGCATATTGTGAAGAGCGCGAGTCATCGGAAGCGGGCGCTGTGCTCGATTCTGCTGTGGGTTATGGGGCAGGGGACGGGGATCACGGCGATTGCGAATCTGATTCCGACGCTGATGGGGACGTTGGGGTTTGGGACGACGATGCAGCTGGGGCTTGGGGTTGTGTGGACGGTTTGTGCGGTTGTTGGGTGTGGGATTAATGTTTTGTTGCTGGATCGGGTTGGGAGGGTGAAGTTGCTTGGTATGTCTATCTTTTCCGATCTTCTTGTGTCCCTTTTTGGAGGCTTTGGGCTAACAGGATCGTGGATAGTTGCTGGTGGCTTTGGTAGCGCCGCGATGATTGCCATCATGGGCGTTCTCGAGAAGTACTACCTGAACAGCACGTATACGCCCGGAGTGAACGCAGCCGTGGCATTCTACTTCATCTTCGGCGCGTACTTCACCTCCACAATCGAGTGCACGGCGTATGTCTACGCCGCCGAGATCTGGCCTACGCATTTGCGCAGCGAAGGGTCCACCATCGCCTTTGCCAGTTTCTTCGGCAATGCGGTCGCATACACGGCGCCTGTTACGACGGCCCTTGCGACTATCGGCTGGAAGTACTACATGGTTTTCGTGGCTGTGACGGTCGTGTCGACGGTCATGATTGTCTTCTACTTCCCTGAGACCATGGGGCTGAGTCTGGAGGAGATTAACGCCAAGTTCGGCGACCGGGTCGAGCTGGACTTGAAAGATGCGCTGGATGCTGAGGGGCCGATGAGCTCAAGCTCTGACTCGGCGAATGTGTGAGCAGAGTGGGCATCGTGAGTATTGCCGTTTGTAGGATGAGGTGTGAAGGCCGAAACGAGACATGCGACGAGACAAGTGTGGACATGGTGGTGGACAGGCTAACCTGGTTGATGCGTAGTCTAGTCTAGCTCTCGGAAATAGTGATTAATCTAATTGGCACACTCATTGAAGCTTTTCCGAGCATTGCAGAGGACGTGTCCCCACCGTCCGCTGTCAGTTGCCGGCCCGCCCCGCCGATCTCACTATCAATCCCGGTCTGGACAATCCTAGTCGCCTTGGCTGACACGGTACGCGTTTCCGATCCTGCTGAGGAAGGTACGCCGCGCATCAGAAGAGCCGGCCATGGCCTGGGCATCTGTGGACCGAGACTGCGCAGAATGGGACTGCAGAAGCCCACCTCTTTCTTGGAAAGGAAGGTATACCCCGCTCCGTATGGACATCCCATCTGCCCCGGGCAAGGCCTGGTCTCTGTCTGGTGGAGGGTGGACAGGGCAGCTAGGGAGTCGGGACACATCGAGATCGTGTCCACTGCGGACATAGACTTCGTACTTTTTCATAACCCAACCATACTGCGCTGCGTCCCCTGTCACACTGAAGCGCCATGACACGGGTCGCTTCTTCTGCAGGGCTTGCCCAATGCCGAATGGCGCATCCTAGGGATGTAGCTGGTCCCCAACTAACAGGGGTAGAAATCCTTCAACGCTCGTCTAGCGGTCCCAAGGATTCATTATGAAACCAAGCCGGCTCTGCAGAAGGCAGTCAAGCTTGTGAGCTGTCACACGACGTCCCGTCTTGGCTGTCGGGCTGGGGGCCGCCGGTCCACATGCCCCCACGGGGCTAAGGTGCAAGGATTTCGAGTGGGTAGTCGGAATTGCTCTTGCGTTTCCCGATGAAGAATATGGAGCATGTGATGGCGTCTCAGCAAGCTGCTGGTATAGCTTTCCAGCATTCACAAGCGCACTTTGTGACAGTCCCGGTTCCTTTTTCTTCCAGCGTGATCACTATAGGCCACGACCTCTGATATGCATCCACCATGGCATTGAATTCCTCAGCTCACGGGCCACGGGCTCAGGACTTGGTCAAGCGCAGCCGTGAAGAATTCTGACATGATACATCCAACTAGCTATCTCTTACGGAGCCCTCTGTGCTGAAAGGATGCACATACCATAGGGTTGAAGATCGTTAGGTCAAGTATTCAGACTAGCCAACCAACTGCCTCGTGGTTCCTGGCCCCTGACCCCTTTCCAAGCCAGCTGCACGCACAAAGGCAGTTTAGTACTACTGCTGATATATTAAACTTTGACCGTTGAAACACCATCTCCCAGACACTCGGTACTGTGCCCTTTGCACTCCAGAATTGCCAGCACACAATGGCGCTGCGTCAGAAGGGCCCTACGCTCGTGGGCGTCCTGTGGATGGAAGTATTCCTGTGTCTTCTCATCCTGTGTGCGCGATTGTATACGCGGTTCATGATCCTGCGGAATACGGGGTGGGATGATTTGCTTCTTGTGTTGACATGGGTAAGCCCCAACTCGAATCAACCATATCGCGCCTCACATGCAGCACAACTAACTCGCTCGTGGGCAAGGTGCTGATGGTCGCTTTTGCTGCACTCTGTACCGTATCCGCGACGTACGGGATGGGCGTGCACGCCGACGAGCTCTCGCTGCACCAGAACAGCCATGGCATGTTGCTGCTTCTGGTTGGTCAGACGGTCATTGCGATCGCGATGGGCCTGAGCAAGTGCGCGGTGACGGCGTTTCTCATGAGGATTGTTGTCAATAAATGGTGCGTCTTCCGCCCGAGACAATCGCTACCGCGAACCGAAGTGAAGGTTGCTGACCCAGGGTCCGCCGGAATAGGCACAAGGCGTTTCTGTGGTTCTGGAATATAACGATCATGGCGTTGAGCTTGTTGCTGGCGATCAGTGTCTTTGCGCAATGCACGCCTGTCCAGTCGATCTGGGACTCGACCATTCCGCAGCAGAGCTGTCCGCTGGATCTCACGCAGATTGCAACGGTGATGTGTGGTGAGTATCGCACCCATTGCACCGCGTTTGCCATGAAGCCTAACGCGTACCCAGCATGGTCTGCCGTCCTTGACTTCGTCCTCGCCCTGTTCCCGTGGTATGCGCTCTGGAACCTGAACATCAAGCGCAAGGAGAAGATCACAATCTGCATGTCGCTGAGTCTGGGAATCTTGTACGTGCATCCACATCAACCCCTCATTTCTTTGCAAATGAAACTGCTAAACCGGAACTCCCGTCAGTGCCGGAATCTGCGGCGTCATCCGAACAACCAGTCTAGGCGCCCTGAAAGTCTCAACGGACTACCTCTGTACGTCTCCATTCCCTCCCCCACACCCATCCACTAACAAAACCCGTCAACAGACGCAACAACCGACTCCGTCATCTGGACAAACTCCGAGCTCACCACCACAATCCTCTGCGTCTCCGCCCCCGCCCTACGCCCCCTCTACCGCTCCCTCCGCGGCCAGGTCTCCTCAAAAGACGCCTCGAACTACAACAACATCAACGGCTCCTCCTACGGCAAGACCACGGGCAACAGGACAAGGAAGGAAAGCTACGGGATGGATACACTGGTGACATCTGTCGTGCCGAAGGGCCACGAGCGCGGCGATAGCAGCAGCGACGGGGTAAAGGGCGACGAGGAGGACGTGGATACGAGGCATATCTTGTCACCGAGGCCGTCCGGTGCGGTTGGTGAGAATCGTAATATTTACCAGACGCGCGAGGTCATTGTTTCGTATGAAGAGCGCAGGCCTGGGGACGTCGGGGAGGGGGGATCCGTGGGCTCGTTGGGGAACGAGGGGTTGGCGAGCCCCGTTGTGCCGGTTAGGGTGAGGCAGCATCTTTGATGTTATAGCGGCTCCGGTTCACTCGCGGGTCTGTGTTTCTTTACGCTGTCAGTCGCCTCTGGTAGATCTATTCTGAAAGCGTTATTTCTGCCTTGTCGATGCTTCTTTCTAGGATATACCCCTTGGTAATCAAAGGATTGTGTTGGATGGCTGACTGTTGATTTCGATAAGCGTTTCTGAGTCGTAGGGAGAATATATAATTTGTGTGTTGTGATAGCATGGTGTCGAGTCTTCCAAAGTCGTCGCGTGATATATATATATGGTATTGTCCGCTGTGGACAAGCTAGTATAGGGAGTAGTCCGTGCTTGTTGACAGCCGCCCCTTGCGCAGCATTCTGATGCATCAGAGGTCCTTTTGACACCGTCAGAGCATACGTTTCCAAGTCAAGAGTTTCAGTTGACAAGCAGAACGTAAACAGTATGACAGATGTGTCGCATACTATGGCTCTGTATACCCCTGTCGTACCCCGCGTGGAAGGCCAATCAAACACCAGGGGTAAATTGATATACAGGATAAGACGATATAGGATAAATACCACGAACGTACCTTTCCAGGTAGTGTATTAAATGACAGGGTGAGTTGGAGACGCGTCCGGTTTAGAATGGTATAAAAAGGTCCAGCAACCCCGAGGGAAATCGGGGTAGCTCCCTAACGCATTAGAGCATGTTAGGCAGCCTATCCTGTTGACATATTGTAGCATACCGTACCGAAATTTATCTATACTGGGTCGGCTCGATCAAGGTGCTACAACTCCTCTTCTCCCTCGCTATCATCTACGGCTCCTACCTCATCCAACTAGCCCTACAAGCCCCAAATCCCAACCGCAACCCGGACAAGACAGTCGAGGCAGACCCATTAAGAAACAAGAATGTAACATACATACCGTTCACAGCTCAACTCCTTCAATTTTCCAGCTGACATTCTGCCCCGACTATGCTGGTGGATCGGCGCTCACGGCCGCATCATCGCCATTATCGGGCTATGCCACGGCATCCTCCCACTCCCCCGGAACCAACACAAGCCTTTATCTGCCCAGCAGGCTACAACAAACACATCTTCACATCCACCCCACAATCAACCCTCTTCCTATCCACCTTCTAGCCGTGGCCACACTCCGGATCATCGCATTCCGCCAACTCCAGAAAAATTTCACATTCGCCGTCGCCAAGCCAGGCAGACTCATCACGACAGGCCTGTATAAACACGTCTAGCACCCCTCGTACAGCGGCGGCATTGCAATCGTTATTGGGTTCATGGGTCTGATCTTTCGCGATGGCGGCGTGTTGAGCTGTTATCGCCAGGTCACCATCCGGTACTTGATGCAGTGGGGAAGGTCCTGTTGTGCGGGAATATGATCTACTATGCGGTTTTTATATCGTGGAATATTCCGACGAGGATCCCGCAGGAGGAAGAGTTGCTTTGTAAGGCATTTGGGCGGGAGTGGGTGGAGTATCATGAGGAGACGGCGAGGTTTATTCCGTGGGGTTTGTAGGACCTCTTGGAAGTTGATTGTTGGTGCAGTTGTGATCTGTAATGGATCTGTGAGGGTTATTGACCTCCTGTTGATTCCCACTGGGTATAGACAGCACATTTTCGCCTTTGGACTGGAGGTTTTGAGGCACGGCGTCGGGATTTTAGACGGTCTGTCCTTGTATATTCCTCACTCATTGAGCAGACCATGAATATTTAGGTGCGGCACGTTTACCTTATAGCAACAGCATAGAACGTCAGACCTTAGAGGCTTCTTTCGATTAACATTGAATCCTACAGCATAGTGCAGTTACTTTATGTGCTTGTTTGATGTCCACCAATGGGCCTAAGGATATTGTAACAGGTCCATTTGGGCCCCATTCATCCAACTGGTAGTCTGGGATCTTTGTGAAATGTTGAGAATATTTGCAGATGGAGAATGGGTGCGTAATACTAGTAGATGGATCGTATGTTAAGCTTGGTATCTCTGGCCCCGGGGGAAAGGATAGTATTCCGGGACGTGGATTAGAGTGGACGGTATATGATCCCCCATATCCCACGTGTTTATCCATGTTCAATCTCCTGTAAGTGAAATGACACAAGTCCTCCAACTTCCAAGGCCGGGCTATCCATTCAAAGCCCAACATGTCGCACCACTAATCGACGATAAAATGAACTATGTTTGCTTCCCTCCTGGCTGGGAGTCTGCCGTTTACAGAAGCTTGGGCCTTGTCTGGCGGGATATTGTTGCGCTTGATGGGATGGCGATTGACGAGTAGAGTCCAACTCAAGCCGTCTCTGAAAATGGCCGTGAATATGTGGCAACCCCTAGTCGAGGTCCTCTTCCTCATCCAGTTCGACTCACTAATCCAACAGAAACATCTTCTTCTGCATCTGCTCCGAAACCATCTGCATCCCTGTCAGCCACGCAACCCAAACCAGCCCTTCGCAGAGCAAGGGAAGAACACACCATATGATAATCCAAATGACTAACCCCCTCCACATACTCCACAGAATGATTCACCGGATACCCCCCGGGCAGATTCTGCAGCATACTCATGAAATTCCGCCCACGCTCAAGGTGCGTCCCCCCCTGCAACTGCGCCTCGCAATGCGTATCGCCCTTGCCATGATCGTCCAGCCCAAAGCCATAGAAGACATGTCTGAACGCGAACCGCTCCGTGATGAGCCCGCGGTTCTCGAGCACCTCGTCGCGCACGTACTTCGGGATCCGGGTCGGCTTTCCGGGCCCGATGCCGTAGTGCCAGGCGTCGTAGACTGCCGGGTCGGAGCAGGATGGTTGGGAGGAGGGGGGGATGGGGCGAGATTCCACGGGCCAGGCGAAGGAGCCGGGGTTCATGATGCCGTAGGTTATTCGGCTGTCTTCTGGTTGGGAGGGGCGGAGCATTGCGTCTGGATAGGTTGTTAGCTAGGAGCTTCTGGAGACGGGGAGGAGTGGTTCGTACAGCGTTGGACGGTCTGAGCACCGAGGGCTATAGAAGGTCAGTATGCGACATCAGCAACAGATAGAAGGGGAAGTGGCATACAATGACTCGCGAACGCAATACTCTCCACCGCTGGGTAAACGTCCTTATCCCAGAACATTGCGATGAACTTATCCAGCCTACACTGATCAGCACGATCCACACCCCGTTTAACGATCTTCGACCAGTACGTACGCTTCATAACTCGACATCCGCACATCTCCTGGCCCAACGGCAGGCCCGCCCCGCTGGTACGTATTCTTATGGTAGTAGACATCGTCCGGCTGCGCGGCGCCCATAGCGACGTCTTCCTTATTCAGCCACTGCGGTGCGGCGACGAGGATCTTGTCCATGTCTGCGTTCACGCTTTCGCGGCCGGCGGCGCAGATGAGGGCGTTGCGGATGTCTGAGCCCCATGTTAGCATAGGGCTGATAGATGAGGGTGTGCTTCAGGGGTTTTACTGTTGGCGTATTTCCAGCCGCTGGGTGTGGAACGGGTTAGCAGGGTTTCGATGCAAATAGGACAAGGGGGAGACATACTTCCTCCATATACCGGCCGTCGTAATCACGACGCGTTTAATCTGTGTCAGGTCTTTGGTGTTCTCGACGTAGTATGGCTACAGTTGAACATCAGCTCCGTCCCTCGAACAACACGGGGCGTGGTACCCTCGAGAACGTACCAGGGTAGCATCCGTGTCTTGGTCAACCACGAGCCTGTTCAGGTCAAAGCCCGCAACTATTGGGCTAAATGTTATCAGCAACAGCCTCAGCAAAAGCCCAGGTGGGGGAGGAATCCATACATCTCCTTCCACCCATTAACATGGTCTCCCGCCGGCGTCGCAGTGCTGATCATGATAGTCGGACAATCAGCTGGCTGTGTCTCGCCGACTGCGTCTGGCTGCCCACTGAGTCGAATTGTCTGGACATTGTCAACGGCCCCGAAAGGAGGCGGGTCTCCTTTTTTGTGGTTTGCTTGCAGGTATTCCGGTGGAACGGTGGCACTGGCCATGGTGGCTAGCAAGAGGGCTAGTGTGAGGGTTGAGAAGCGCATGCTAGCTGTTGAGGTTGTCTGTGTGGGCGTGGGTGATATTCAGGGACTATCAGGGTTGAGGCTGCAGGGGGAGATAAACCAAGGGCCAAGTGTCAAACACCTTTTTGAACGGGTACGTGAGTGGAGCAAGGAGTGAATGCAGCCAAGTTGGTACAGCAGCTGCAAGTATAAATAGCAATGCAGCAAGGGGCGGCTATAATTCGGGCGATGGTGACATGCAGGTGAAGGAGCAGTCTTGCATGCTGTCTGTTCTCAATCTCTCCTGCCTCAAAATCTTAGTTGTTCACTTTTGATATCTGCCCATGGCAAAGAGAGGGGTTTTCAAGCTTTTCCTCGCGTAGGGCTGTCCCCTTCACTGGCTGATCCCTACTACAACAAACCCTGCCGCCTGATCCAGATCTTGTTTGCCGTGACGATCGTGTATAGCCTGTGGGTCGAGCCTGATACACCACCAATCATACCCAGCATGATGAGAAACTATTGAATGCTTGACCGGCCTAACAGATAAGGGTGGGGTCGGGGCTGACAAGGCGTCTGGGAAGAGCCTGTACCCGAACGGTGACGCCCGCGTCCATGCAAGCCATCAACGGGCTTGCAACCATTGGAACTAACCATTATTTCCTATGGGACGGCTACAGCTACATGAACCCCGGGACATCCCCCTCCAGCACCGTAAACTCACGAAGCATGTTCCCCCCCGCATCCACAAAATAGAACACGCGCCTCGTGCCCCTATCCACCCACTCGTATCCATACAGCCCCTTCCCCTGCCTCACATTAACCACGCGCTCGAGACAGTCCAGGACCTCAAGCTTCCAGTTAATTCTCAGCCCGAGCTCCTGCGCGAGCATGGTACACCGCACGAGCGTGACCCAGCAGAACGTCAGATACCGCGTAAGTTCGTCGCGATTCGCGCGGTGGAAGGGGTCGTGCGGCTCGGGGAGTCGACGCTGCGGTGTATCGTACTCGGCCATTTCCAGTATCGGCTGCACGAGCTCGGGGGGTAGGCGCTTTGAGTGGAGGATTTCAAACACGCGCTGGATGTCGTGGTCTGAGGGGAGATGGGGCGGGGGCGCGGTGCTGTTCAGGAAGACGTCGAAGGGGACCTGGCCGAAGGGGAACTTTCTCTTCTCCACGAGCACGCGCTTTTCTTTCTTCTTCTTCTTCTTCTTCTTCTTCTTCTTCTTCTTCTCCTGCTCCTTGTTGACGAACTGCACGAGCGCAGGCCACTGCATCGCAACTCCTATATCAAACTCAAACATATGCCGCACATGGCGCTCGGGAATCCCAAAGAACTGCAGATGCGGGTACGTAGAGACGGCGGACTCGGCGGTCGCCGTGCAATTCTGCAGCATGCGCTGGTAGAGCGCAGTATTGCGGTACTCGTCTTCCATGAGACTGCCCCAGCTCGCGCCCAACAGCCCGTTTTGCGTCCGGCACTCGGCGTCCCAGAGCTCAGGGAAGCAGGCGATGATGTTGAGGGTTATGTAGGCGTCCAGCGCGCGTCTGTACAGTGATTCCCAGCCCAGCTGCTCAGAGGTGCATGGGCACGCGGTCACGCCGGTCCAGGTTGCATAGTCGGTTTCTGGATGCGCGGCGATGCGTAGGAGGGGGTCCATCTGCCCGTGCAGGATGAGTGTCTTGGCGAGCTCGATGTTGGTGAAGGCGTCTTGGTTCTCCTTGTAGAAGCGGTAGCAGTCGTTGCGCGTGTACCGGCGCAGGAAGGCCGGGGTTTTTCGTTCGCTGAGGGGGAGGGGGCAGGAGCAGGTTGGGTTTGAGTCGGAGTTGGAGTTGGCTTTGTTGTCGTGCGGGCACAGCGCTCTGCTCCCATTCCACTTTACAGGAGGGTCGTCGCGTACTGTCCAGTTTCTTGACATCGCTTTGCGCCATCTGTAGACGGTGCGGTTGATCTTTCTGGCGGTGGCGTCGTCAAGCAGGATCTCGTCTGGACTGGGGGGAGCATATGTGGCCGGGTATTTTGCCCGCTCTGTCACAGTGTGATCGTGCAGATTGCGGACGAACGACTCGACGAAGTATTCAATGTCGTTTGCGTGTGTTTGTGTATAGCGCCAGACAAGATCCGAGGGCCGTTGCTTGTGCGCGTTGCTCGTTTGGTAGCGTAGATTGGCTGCCAGCACTTGCCACGCGATGTTGTGGGCTTGGTGCGCCATGATAAATTACAATTTATAAGATATGATCGGAAAGTTTCTGCAGGCCCGAAATCCCGGTTTTGGATGGAAAACGACGAGTTTTGAGGACGTTGGTGTGAGTCCAGGATGGCTCAGCCACGGAGGACCGTGCATTAGCCTGCAGCCCTGAGTCATTTGGCTGCACTAGGTAGGGAACTAAGCAACGGACTGGTTGTTAATTAGCCGGGCTGGGCTGGATGAGTCATTCTAGTAGCTAAGAAGATATGGCAGCTCTAGATGACCAACTCATGCGTGATCCGCATAATGGTTGTTCTAACGTGGTCTCGTGTGTCGTGTCCCGTCTGATCAGCAGCTGGAGGCGTACGCTACATGCGTTGTCTGCCTCTTATCATTGAGGAAATGATACTCGTTGCGTTCCGGGTTCCGGCGATATCTTATTTTATAGAGTTCCCAGCGCGGTGGTCGTCCGACGTGGCGACGCAGCGCGTTAAAGATCATGCCTTTCCAGTCAATCTCCTCCCCCAGCTCTTGTGCGAGGAGGTTGTACCGGACAAGAAGGTTCCAACACAATTCTAGGTACTTGTTGAGCTCGTTGCGGTTCTGAGCATGCAGGGGGTCGTGCGGTATTGGCAGGCGGCGCCGCGGCGTATCGTAGTCTGCGAGCTTAAGGATGGGGATGACCAGTTCAGTGGGCAGACGCTTTGCATATAATATCAGCGTAACCTGTGCAATGTCTTGCGAGGACGGGAGGTGCGGGACTGTCTCTTCCAAGTTCAAAAAGCGGTTGAAGGGCAGATGGCCGTAGGGGAACTTGTATGCCGCGACGTAGCCGGATTTCTTCGCCTCTGTCCCCGTCCCCGCAGCCCATCCAGTTGCTTTATCGTCTTTTACGAATTTCCTGAAGACCGGGTACTTCACCGCGATGTCCGCGGGGAAGCGAAAGCAATCCGAGAAGTGGCGGTCCGGGACGCCAAAGAACTCCTGGTGCGGGAGCACAGTGGCCGGTGTGGTGATGTCCATAGTCACAAGGCCCAGCATATACTGGTACATGGCCGTATTCCGGTAATCGGCTTCCCTCAGGGCACCGGGTGTGTTATTTCTCTTCTTCCCACGGGGCGCAGGCTCCCATAGGGCCGGAAAGACTTTGATGATGTTCAGCACAAGATAAGCTTCCAGCGCGAACTTGTAGACCATGTCCCAACCGAGCGTTTGGGGCATGCAATTGCACTCGCCCTTTGAGTGCCATCTCGCGTACTCGTCTTTGATGGCTGGGTCCGAGCAAGCGCGCAGGACGGTGTCTGTCTCGCCGTGGAGCAGCAGGGTTTTGACAAGCTCCATGTGGAAGAAGCAGGCGCGGTTGGCCTCGTAGAAAGTGTAGCAGTCAGGATAGATTCTTCTCCGCATGAACGCAGATGCCTTGCGCTCCTTGAAGGGTAATGCGCAGGGGCAGCCGAATATGTATCCGTCGTCTTGCTCCTCTTCGCGGGCTGGGTCGTCGGCGCTGCGGCATTCGCTGATGTTGCTGGTGTGCGGGCAGAGATGCTTGCTTCTGGCCCATGTTGTGGCTTGCGGGAGCTGGATTCCTTCCGCTGTTGACAATGAGTTGCGCCATTTGTACACTGTCTGGCTGATTCTTTGGGCTGCTGCATCGTTGATGAGGATGTCTTCTGGCTTGGGGGGTTGATATGTTGCAGGGTATTTTGCGCGCTCGGCTGTGGTTTGGTCTTCAAGGGCTTGCACAAATGACTCGGCGAAACCGTCAATATGCTTTCCCTGGTTTGGCTTGAAGCAGAAGACGATGTCGCAGGGTCGGGGCATGTTGCCCGCCTGGTATCTCATGTTGGCCACCAGGGCATCCCAACGGATTCCTTCCACTTGATGCGCCATATCTGCCAATATGATCGGATGTTCAATTCAGAAGTGTCTACAAGTTAGAAATCTCCTCGACGGGCGAACGAAAGGGTTTTTGGAGTTGCTGGATGAGCGCTAGTCCTGATTGGCTCGCCGACTCGCTCGTCACGTGCTGCCATCTGCCTGTTCTTGCCTGGACTGCGTGAGTTGGAGGAGCATATGATCTCAATGGCCAAAGTGGTTTTGGTACTACTTCTCACTTGCATTCCTGTCACATACTTGGCATGGCTCTTGAAAAAGCGATTTGTGCCTGGACTGAAGTCAGATATATATTTTTGTCCCACCCATCCCCAAACCATCCCTATCTATACCCAAACAACAGCGAATCCGAAGGACAGCGAGTGGCTCGGGTTAATAATAATGGCAAGTGATCCAAGGTTCGTTGATACCATTATTGCAAGTCTAGGAGATATCTATATGCCACCACATTACACATTACCCACCCACCCCATCCATTATCTCAATAAAGCGCACCAAACAGAAGTGCAACCACCTACACCTTGTCCCCACCCTCATTCCTCTCCCTCCTCAGCCCCTGGCTACTCTCCAGCGCCCGATTCAAATCATAACTCTGCGTACCCGCACTAAGCACCAAAGCGACCCCACAAACCCCACAACAGACCGCATACACAATGCGCAGACTATCCGTATACGCCGTCTGCAGCGCCAACTTCTCCGCGCCCTCAGGCATCGCTTTAATAACCTCGACAAGTCCGGCGGCATCTTGACTATACTCTGACGCTCTGGCCGCAAGATCGGGGATAGCAGAAGAAACAAGGTTCGCAAACATGCGATTCTGAAACACCACACCCCCAATCGCCACGCCAACAGCCTGCCCCATCGCGCGGAAGAAGCTGAACATCCCGACTGCAATCGCGAGCGTATCGTTCGTGGCTGACGCCTGGATCGCGAACCCGATGCTGGGGAACAGCAGACCGAGGCCGATGCCCGGCACGATGTTGATGAAGATGAAGGCCGGGATGCTGGTGTCCACGTCCATGTAGCACAGCAGGCCCAGGCCGAACGTCGACAGGATCCAGCCCAGCCAGATGGCCCAGCGGTAGTGGCCGAACTTGGTGACGAGGATGCCGACGACTGCTGCGGAGGGCGCGACTGTGAATGTTGCGGGGAATAAGGCCACGCCTGCCATGATGGGCGTGTAGCCCTTTACGGCCTCGTAGTATAACGGCTGGTAGTAAAGGAGACACCAGAGAACTAGGCCCTGTAGGAACGAGCCGGCGAAGGAGACGGAGGCTGTGCGGTTTTGGAAAATGCGGGGTGGGATTATTGGGTCTTTGGCGAAGCGGTACTCGTAGAATGCGAATATGGCAAGACCAACGACGCCGATCATCAGTGGGACGAGGGTGCGCCATGAGTCCCAGTTGTAGAGGATGCCGCCCCAGGAGAGGGGGATCAGGAAGGAGGAGAGGCTGCCGACGAAGATGATGGTCCCGATGTAGTCGATTTGGCGGAGTTTTTCGGCCAGGGAGGTGGGGATTATGTTGAGCTTTAGGAAGAGGAGGATTGTGACGAGGCCGACGCCGATAAAGGGGAAGTTTATGTAGAAGATCCAGCGCTACCCGGGCATAGGTATTAGCTTTGATTTGTATGGGTGATGTGTTGGTAGGGAAACGTACCCAGGTAACATCCTGACTAAACCCACCACCTAGAATCGGCCCAGTCACAGAGCCAACACTCCACATCGCAGAGAGGATGCCGAAGTACTGCCCTCGTAATCTTAGTGGGACAAGGTCGGTGACAATGACTTCGCTCAGGGCGATCAGGCCGCCACCCCCAACACCCTGGACCGTCCGGCCAACAAGGAGGTAGGTGAAGTCCTTAGAAACAGAGCAGACGACCGTCCCGACGAAGAAGAACGTCAGCGCAACGAGGACAAGCGGTCGCCGCCCGAAGATGCTAGAGAGGGAGGCGAAGTTCGGCTGGAAGACTGTCGAAGCAAGCAAGAACGAAGTGCCGCTCCAGAATGCTTCAATGGCTGTTCCTTTCAGTTCGCGTGTGATGATCTACATAGACAACGTTAAATGCCAACGTTTCCAATGTGGAGCAGGTAAATAGGGTAAACTACCGGCAACGCAACGGAGATGCTCGTCCCGTCCAGCGCAACCATGAGGGTCAACACGGACAGTGTAAAGAACGCCATGATCCCGCGACGGCCAAGCACGAATTCATCCTTCTCGTTTTCCAGGTCCAGCGTCTCGGACTTGGATTCAGACGGTCGAGGGGGAGATATAGTTTGGCTGGCCTCCGCGTCGGCCAAGACACCCGCCTTCTGATTGACCATAATTGTGACGATCGTTTGGCTTTACCTATGGGAGGAGAATGAAGAGAAGCAGGTAATCTGTGGGTTGTAAATCTCATCCTCACGCCCGACATACAAGGGCTGATATATACGTCCATGGTGCTGAGGAAATCCGTCGCGGCTCTCAGTTCCTCCAGCGGATGGATTCGACCCGCGGAGGAACAAGCCATCCATTCTGACAGCGGGACAAGCTCTGAGCCATAGCAGGGCGATGACGGTGGTGTGTTGGGGCTGAGGCTGATCCTTCCGACTCGGTCGGGCCAACTGTAGCCCGACCGTGTCCGACCGGCGGATGGTCTGTGGCCCGAGGGCGAAACTAGTATAGAGGGGCCTAGCTTACTGACAACTAGTCAATAAGGGCTTAGTTTACTGGTCAACCATTCGAGAACGGCATAGCGTTCGACGTTCGTGGACTAGACAAAATCCGCTTCATCATTGCTTCAAGTTAGCCGCCTCCCTCGAGTCCCTCCAGTCTCAATGGAGGTCGAGTATCACAAGGACTATAATAATCCTTGTATCATGTCTCTATACACTGTAGGTTATTGAAGTATTGGCCAAGCTATTCAGCCTCTGGCCCCTGCACACGGCCGGGCCGTACCAGCCAACCAAGCCCTAACCGAGGCATGTCATTGGGTGTCGTAACCTTATAGATACAATGGCAGCACGGCCACCTTGCATTCAACTCCCAGCTTCAACAATACAATCACCTTATCTATGCTAACCCTAACCACTGCAACTACTCCACACCCGCCGCAACACCAAACTCCCTCTTAACCAGCATCCCCAGCCCAACCAAATCAGTAACAACACTCACCATCCCAAACCCACGGCGCGCATAACTCCTCGCCTGAGCCCCAGTCTCACAATAAATCCCCACAGCCTTCCCATATCTCCGTCCCGCCTCATAAACCCTCTGAATCGCATCCCGCAACTCAGGCGCATAGTTCTCCTCCCCAGGACCGGTGATCGGGAATCCAATATTCACGGCTAGATCAAAGGGCCCGATGAAGAGGACGTCGATTCCGTTCACAGCAGCAATGGCCTCAACGTCCTCTAGTGCCCCCCTCGTCTCGATCTGCACGCCTATGACGAGCGCGTCGTTCGCTTGAGCTAGATACTCTGCCCCGGTGGGCTCGTGGACGCTCACGCCCCCCGTCGGGGGATCATAAACATGGCTCCGGAATTTGTCCACGGCCAGCAGGCTCTCAAACCCTCTCTTTCCATTGGGCGGAAATTTAGCGCACTCCACGACTCTCCTTGCATCATCCACTGATTCGATCATGGGGACCAGGATCCCGTGTGCGCCGGCGTCAAGCGCCCGCTTGATCATCCAGTGCTGGGCATCGGCGACACGAACAACGGGCGACACGCCGCATGAGGCCGCGGCCGCAACGAGCTCGTGCATGTTGTCGTCGTGCAGGTTGCCGTGTTCAAGGTCGATGAGGAGCCAGGAGATGCTTGGGGAAGCGCGGCAGATTGTGCGGGGGAGGGTTGGGCCCGGGAGCATTTGCCAGGCGCCGAAGGCGGGGGTGTTGGACTTGAGGGTCTTTTGGAGGTGGTTTGCTGATTGCATGGTTATGGCGCAGCAATGTGGTTGTTCGGTGGGTTGGGAGAGCGGGTTTAGGCATTTGGGGAGGAAGGATGTTGGACCTGAGGCTGGGTTGCGAATTTGGTACATGGGTAAGGTACCGGTTTTAGGGAATGCTAGAAAGGTGAAGGGTACCTGGCTTGACGCCCGCTGCTGAACTGGACAGGACATCGGATCTCGAAGCCGATGCAGGGCGACTCGGGATGAAGTCGCGAGCCGATAGTCAACGCTGAGGTCCACAAATGCCATGAACCTGATTCATACCCGATGATCACGGTCGGAGCTGGGATGCTTTCTCCAAGGCTGGTGTCCAAGTCCAAGAAGAATGTTCTCGGGCTGCACCATCCGCATCGCTATGGTGAACAGAGCAGGTGGTCATCTAGAAGACCTTTGATGTTGGAGCCGACGATGAGAAACCATATTAGGGATGATTAGAAAGGTTCAAAGGGAATCTCGATGGAAACGAGGTCGAAACGCGTAACTATTTCATTGTCTCGTGTCTTTTCAAACGTCTACATCATCAACATGACCCCAACAGTCCCAACAACAGCCGTCCAGACAGGAACAGCCAGCATGCCCGCAGCATCAGGAGGTGTATCCTCATCTTCAGCCCCAGCCCCCTCCTCGCTGCTACCCTCACTCCCCTCACCCGCCTGCCCATCACTCTCGACAACCCTCTGCTCAAGCTCCGGGCTTAGTGGCGTCCGCGCCTCAATATACTGCGTTAACACCTCATCCTGCGTATCAAGAGAGATAAAGTCATCCGTCGCAACAAAGATGTTATCGCCGCCGCCGGCCAAAAAGTCCAGCGTGACAACGCGGTAGTCGCGCTCATCATCGATCGCGTCGTTGTTGATGGTAACATTCACCAGGCGACTGCCGGGGTCATTATCAGGGTTGAACTCGATCCTGACGCCGCGCGAGACCTGGAACCACGATGAGATCTCGGCGTCGTTGAACTGATTGACGTAGGAAACTGCGCCTTCCAGGATCTTGCGGAGATCAGAGCCGGAGTATTCGAGCTCGACGATTGCGTTGCCGAAGGGGAATGCGGTTAGGACTTCGCCGCGGGTGATTTCGCCTTCGTCGATCGTTGCACGCACACCACCGGAGTTGATCAGCGCCAGATCAGGCCGCTCGTCCATGCCCTCCGTCTGGTTGAGGCGGTATTCGAGCATCGCGTCCGCCATGACCTGGCCTAGCAGACAGTCGCCCTCTTGGCAGGTCTCCTGCACGAGCTCAGCGTCTGTCTCGCCTAGGACTTCGGCTGCGAAACCGGCGAAGGCCTCAGCCCACCCCTGGATCTTGGCGTCGAGCTCTTTGTCGAGGGCCGTGCTGTTGTCCATGTGGATTGGTGCGCCGTGGTATGCGAGAGCATGGCCTTCATCATCAAACGTGAGGTCGATGGCGCCGATGTACTCGCCCCAGCGGTAGGCGGTCACAATGAACACCTCGTGGCCTCCTAAGTCCTCGACAATGGTCGGATAATCGCCCTGGGCATCTTCCATGTCGCCGAGAAGAGTATGTGTGTGGCCTCCAATAATCAGGCTGAGACCCTCGGTTTGCGCTGCGAGCTCCTGGTCTACATCGTAGCCGAGATGGGAGAGGACCACGATGCGGTTGACGTTAGTATCGTTGCGAATTTCCCAGACAGCCTTCTGGATCTCTTCGACGGGGTCAAGGAAGGTGGTCGTGTTACCGACACTCGAAATCCCCGGTGTCGTGGTGGTCGTGGCGCCAATAACGGCAATTTCATGCTCATCGAAGATGACGTAGTTTTTGATCGTCTCATTAAGCGACTTGACCTCACTCTTGACGTTGCACGACACGACGGGAAATGTCAAATTGAGCAAGAACTCGCCGAGAGCTTCGTCGCCGCCATCCCACTCATGGTTCCCCAGCGTCATGGCATCGAATCCGAGCTCGTTGATGGTCTCGGCGATCTTCTCGCCTCCGTAGTACGAGTAGAAGAGCGTGCCCTGAAACTCATCGCCGGCATTGAGCCACAAGTTGTCCGGGTATTGCTCGCGGAGCTCGTCGACCTTGGTCTTGATACGCGCATAGCCGCCATAGCAGCCCTCCTCTGGGTCCTCGCAGGTTGTTCCCGAGGACGCGAATTGGTCGAGGTGTGCGTGGACATCGTTAACATGGAAGAAGGCTGATCGGGTTAGCTGAAGCATCATTAACACTAGACGGCCACGTACAAACGTTGTAGTTGCCGTCATCGTCGACAAACCGCTTAGCCAGGCGCTTGCTGTAGAGGTAGTCGTCGGCGACAACCGTGCCAGCCACCGCAAGGACGGCCAGTGATAGCGAGGACTTCATGTTTGGCAGAGCTCCTGCAGCTAGGTGAACGGTGCTGGAGTGCAGCAAAAGAGGGGGATCGGCAAGCCTGATATACGCCAGCCACCACCGGCTGCCAGGCTTGGCTGTGATACACGTGGGAACGGCCATTGGTCCCCCCAGCAGGGCGGAGGAGCCCGAATGCAACCTTGCGCTGGGTTGGCCTTGGCACGAGCTTGGCACCGGCCCCTGTACACCAATCAGGGTGCGTTTGGCATGCAGGAACTGGATGCAAGGGGTGATAAGACTCATAAGAGCCCTGGCGACCCCAACTGTTCCTTAATCTATACCATATCTACTGATCTTGATTCAGCGGAGGTCCCCGCAGTCTCGCGAGAAAACAACCCTACTCCGGTCCTTATCTCCCTCGACTGAAGAGCCGTACGGTGCGGGCTCATTTCATCGAGATATGAGGCTCGATTGAGGCCAGCACAACCGCAGAATGCTTCGCAGACAAGGGGTTAGCAACTGCATCGATACCCTCAATGCGTTTGAAGAAGGTCCTCTAAATAGGTAGAGTCCGTTGTTGGTCTGCCGCAAGCTGGTCGTTGACCGTCGTCGCTTTCGAGACAGCGTTTGGCGACGAATTGCTGTATTACATTGTAGTTGGATCATTCGACCAAGATGAGATGATTGTCGCCGCTCCGTGATGCGATCCAATACCCGACATCGGAACTGCTAGCACCATTGTCAGATCTCTCGTCGCCTCAAGTGTTCCACAGTGATGAGCCCAAGAGCACGGGCATTGTCCTACCCAGCCATTCCACCAAATCGCACCGGATAATAAACAACCTTCCCGCGATACGAGCGCCGAATCGCAGCAAGACGAACAGCGTAATGAAAACACGACTCATTACCCCGCAAAACACGATCTCCGACACAAGGAAGCTCAGCATATGCCCCGCCGCTCCAGGGCCGTATGTCCCGAGGCGATGCTGAATGAGGCGCGGAGGTAAGCTTCCGTTGATCAAGATACCGATCGACCAGGAGCCAGCGCTGGATGAGCGGATAGAACTCAGCACAAGAGAGCGACGACTTCCACTGGTTGTCTCTGGTGCTGAAATATCGCGTTTTGGCACCGGCCCGGACAAGGAATTTGACAGCGTCCATCTGGCCACCCGCGCATGCAACCATGAGTGCAGAGCCGAGCTGGTGGCCTTCGAAGTCCAGCTCTGCGTCCATTAAAAGTAAAGCCTGACAAGGTTTGAGGAGTCCTTGCGCAGACGCCACGCAGAGGAGGCTGTCGCGATTGAGGCGCTCGGTCGGGAACATAGTCCGCATTGTGCGCTTTCCAAGGACACGGAGCATCCGTGGTATGTAGGGAATGGCGTAGGAGTGGAAATGCTCGGGCATCTCGTACTGATCAACTCCAAGTTCCGCAATGAGATTACTGTGGAGGATATAGTTTTGTAACTCGGGCTTTAGCAGGGCTGCAGCGAAGGCTGTTTGTTTGTCCTGGAGGTTCGAAGGGAGAGGAAGGTTGTTGTTGAGTAAGAGCGCCAGGGCCTCACTGGACATGACCAAATTCCAGGGAGAAACGCTGGCATGACTCCAGGCGGAGTTTGGCACGTAATCCAGCAGAAGCCGTATACTTTCCAGATCGTCGTCTACGACAGCATACTCCAGAGGCGTGCCAGGTCGCAAGGTTGAACTTGCAGCAGAAACGTTCCAGGAGCAGCCATGTTGGAGCAGATACCGCATGCATTCATGTGCCTTATGCTTGACTGCTTTGTGCAAAGGACTTAGCCCTTCTTTGTCCCTGATGTTGATGTCAGCCCCGTGATTCAACAAAATTCGTAAGGCCTCTACGTCGTCTCGATAGACGGCTTCATGAACGGCTGGAAGCGGCTCGTATGCGTTGATGATTTCCGCCGCGCTCGGAACCATAGAGCTCATGCGCCTGCAAACATAATTAGCCAAGCCTCGCCTACACCAGAGATGAGGGACATTGTACCTAGGACGGTGAGGAAATTGGTCAAGGAACCGCAAGATCTCTTTCAATCCATCCATATTGGACATTGCTATCGCTGAATTGAGAGCAGGCCAGTCTCCACTAAGCCACTCGGGCCATAAGTCCTCGTAATGCGACATCAACATCGGGAGGACCACATTCATCTCGGGATCCCGCAAGGCAAACTGAACGGGACCCTCACCTGGCTGTTTCGGATTAAGTGCCCAATCGCCGCCGCCGTTGTTCAGTAGCCACCGGACCATGGATGGTTGCGCGTAGTGCAGAGCCCACATGATCGGCAGACGATCATGTATCGGTAGGGGAACATTGAGCGGACATCCCTGGGCCTGCAGACGTATGCATGTGGGAATATCAGCGGTTTTTATAGCCTTGCCCAAGAGACGCAGCCTCTGCGTGGTAATAAATCGTTTATCGTACAGTTGAACCAGGTTGCCATCTTCAAGTAGTCCAAGCACTCTCATGTCGTCCGCGTCATCGTCTTCCTGTAGGAGCATTTCATCTGTCGCGACACCGGGTTTCGCACCCAGTTCCAAGAGGCAGTCAATGACACCCTGCGGGACGTCGCATTGGATTGCTATGTCAAGTGGCGTCTCCCGCAGGTCGCTCAATGCATTGATATCGCATGATTTTGAAGCGAGATACTTCAGGATCTTTTGGCCCTTGTCAAGCCCAGCTGCCAAGTGCGCACAGGTATACCCAAGGTCCGTTGTTGCATTGATGTCGGTTAACAACTCCTGTTGAATTAAGTATTTGAGGCACCTTGGCGAGTCGGCAGCCGCGGCAAGATGCAGTGCATTGCAATGGGGAATCTGCCTTTCCTTAACAAGGGTCGAAAACTTATCATTACAGAAACGCGGATGCAATGAGACCGTTCTGTGCCAATCCAGTTTCGGGTGTATCTCGTGTAGTGCTCGGAGTCCACGAATATCGTCCATCCACACCATGGCCAACATCACATTGAGCCCATCGGTGCAGGAGAGGTCCGGGTCAGCGCCGGATTTTAGTAGAGCCATGGTGGTCGCGTGGGAAGATTCCCAGACGTGATGGACAACCGCCGGCGTGAGGTCATAATCATGGCAAACGTTTGGGTTTAGGCCTTTGTCTAGAAGCACTTTCAGCTTCTTCACCTTGCCTCGTACGTCGTTGGTGGCGAGAAGATGAATCAAGCTAGGATCGGAGCGGGGGTTTCGTCTCTCTAATTCTTCGATATTAGTCCGAGAGAGGAGGAGTTCAAATGCCGAGAGTGAGCACTGGCTGCCCGCTTGACAAACGAACTCGATAGGTGACTGTCCTTTGACCTGCCCTTGGACTTTAGCGCCAGAACCAAGCACCTCACTCAAAACATCATCCCACTCTGCATAAGCCGCGACGCAGATCAAAGTCAAGGGATTAGCCAATGGTGTGATGTTACTTTCGGCTTCAGATGACTTCAACATGCGAAGGACAATGGAATCAAGAGTGCTCATAGTATCCCAGGCCAAAGTCTTGTTGCCAGTACAGTCAAGCAGCATGTCGAGCAGTGGCTGGAAAGCCGGCTGCTGATGACGGTCCTCGTACGCATCAAGGACGCCGTGGTCAAGAAAAACAGTAAACACAGTCTCTAGCGAGGCAGCGAAGACAAGAACAGCGTCGTCCTCACCATCGTCCTTCGAGCCATGGCTGGTCTCCTGGTCCTTGTCCAAGCCAAACCTCGGAATGACGTGGGAGCAAAAGTACTCAAAACATTCCACCTTCAGGGAGTCCACCGCCGGGAGGAGCTCAACCAACAAATCTTGTTCCAGGCAACCACGAAACTTGGGCAGTTGTCGAAAAAGGCCCTCGATTGGGAGTATACCTCCATGCCGTGTGCTAGTCCAATCGGCACGAAGCGTCTTCAATAAGCGAATACACTTTGTAGAAGACCCAGGGGTAACATGATGAATAGGCGATGTACCCTCTTCTAGAGGACTGTTCATTGCGACAAGTTGCTCCATGACTTCATGTAATCCGGCCTGGAGCGCTGCGACGTACGGATTCAGTGGTCCGGCGAAGCAGGCAAGGCTACGACAATGAGGTAATAATAGAAGCGCGTTTTCAACGTTTGCTTTCGACAGTGCAAGCGCCATGGGGGTGTATCCTGCATTGTTGATATCCTGCAACCGAGTTGCCATCGGCAATGAGTGGCCAGAATCCAGCAGAGCACTGAGTTGCCCACCATCACCCTCCGCTGCCAGGTGCCAAACGGAATTACCCTCGTGGTCTGGTACACTATCCGAGGCGCCAAGGTCGATGAGAACGCGTATGCACTGCGGGCCTGCGAGATGCAAAGGGCGCTTTCCACTCTTATCCTGGTACTCGTGGTCCAGGCCAAGGTTAAGAAGATACTGAAGTGCTCGAAAGGAGTCTTTGGCAGCAGCTACGTGCAATAAAGACCCACCTAGCCTGTTCCTTTGATGATACGTCTTCAGTCTGGGATCCGAAGAGAGTTCATCAAGCCTGGATATATTCTCATAGTTCACAGACTTGGTGAGCCTCAAGTCGTAGTCTTTGTCACCAAGGTCCAAGCCCTTCGCGGGTGATTCCTGGTCCGCAGGCAGGTGACAGATGATTCGGATGTCATCTAGCTGGTCACGCAGGAGCGATAAAGTGCCATCGTCCCAGTTCATTGCTTTTGACTTTTCATATATGCCATCTAGCGTTTCCGATAACACCGATTCCAGGCCATCATTTTCGTATCGCCAATAGTTATCCGCAAATGTGCTTCGTAGATGCCGGAGCGAACGGTGGTTGACCTTGCTACCAGGCAACAGAAAATGTAGAAACTGTTGAGCAAGGTCGACTGGATCTTCACGGCACCGGTGGCAGAGCAGATCCAGGACAGAGTACGTCATTGAAGTAAACGTGACCTGCTGCTGTGTGATAGGAGTTGCTTCGGCAAGCGCTTTCAAGAGCTCAATCCAAATGCGAGCTGATGTCGAGGGACCCATCCACTCGTCGCAGAACGGCTTCAGCAATTCTGGGGGATGGTTCTCGGCGTCTTTATCGGCCAAGTGGCCCGGCGCATCGGGCAGAAGCGTAGGCGTACCGAGGAGAAAGCACTGTGCCGGGGAAGGGAAGGTATTTTTGACCATGAAGGACTCAGGGGAAGAAAGGTATGGGGTGATGAGATCCTCCAGCGTTAGTATACTGGCCATGTGTAAAGGTTGGAAGTCACCGTGAAAAAGCTTTCTGACCATTTCCGAATACCCAAAACTGTCGCTAAAATTGAGACGCTCCCGGAACATGCGGGTATAATTAGCAGACCATAGCAGGAACTCTGGGGTTTTCTCGGGATGAAACAATTGGTGGGCAAGTGACAAGGCCTCGACGATGCACGCGCGAGGCTCGTAACCTTCCGGCCGATGGTGATCATATGAGGCCTTTACCCGATCGCGACTGTATCGAAACAAGGGTGGCCACATCCAAGTTGCGCAGTTATAGAAAGGATGCTCGCTGCGCACCTTGTGGACACGATCGAAAACGTCTCGAGGTGACAAAAATGGCTGTCTGAAGTTATCAAGACAAAGAAAACGAAGACAGAACTGGATGAGAAACCAGTCGTCATTCGACGTGATATGATACAACGCCAGGGATGTTTGCAGCAACGAAGTGGATTCAAGAAACTCCCGCACGGTGAAGTGGGCAAATTCAAAGGACTCCTTGTAGCTCGACTTTCGGAGAAGGCTTCCGCAAACCCTGAGTACTACTTCTTCGTCGAGGCAATCATCATCATCTATGTACGTTTTACCATCTCTGAGCGATAACGCATCACAGAGCTGAGCAACGGTAAGTTGGGGTGGGGCAGCGGCCACAAGCCTGAGGGTCATTTGCATGACATGCACTGAGGCCGGGGGGGTGTCATGCAGAATTCGTTCATAGGTTGCATTAAGGGTCGGAGGCAGCTTTCCCAATGCCTCTCTTATTTCCCCATCGGTGTGTAGCTTGGAGAGATAGTCCAACTGGCAGCTAACCCATCGAAACCTGGTAAAGACATTATAATCAGACTCGTTCCATCAAGAAGATTGGAGAACTTACATTCCCTGCGCCCCGGAAATCAATGCTTGGACTATCTCGCCTTCCAAGCTCTCCCGCCGAAGGAAAAGCTTACGCCTCTGAATTTTGTCCCTTAGTTGAGCTCGCACATAAAGCTGCACATCGCCGCTTTGTGCGGCAATCTCGATATGGCTGAACGTTTCTTGCAGTACAAGGCGAATGTCATGCAATGGGCGGCTGAGCAGCGCCATGGAGATGGTCGGTGAGTTTTGCACCAGTGAGAAAAGATCCTCAGTCACTGAGGACTCGGGACCACATTCATCCAGGCCATCGACAACCATCAAGACCTGATCAAAGACCGCGGACATCTCGCTGAGCGTGTCTATGAGCGAGGCTAGATCCGGTGTACTGGGAAGCCCCTTCTGAGGGTGGAGAGACGCGTAGTATGCTGCGAGGATTTCGAAGGCCTCATCATTCTGCCTGGCGAGCTGGGAGGCCAGGGAACTCAAAATGTTAATCGGGTCTTGGGTTTGAGGCTCCTGGTAATCGCAGAAGAAGAAACAGCAAGCCCTGCACCCATGCAGTGCCTTCTTGAGACATTCTTCAATCATCGATCCCGCCAGGACCGTTTTCCCAGCCCCGGGAATACCGCTCAACCAGAGCTTGCCATTCTGAGAGTGAAGCCAGGTCTGAAACTCATTCCCGTCCGTCAACCATAACCCCGTCAATGGGTGTCGGAGCTGGAGGTTCGTTTTCAGATTCGGCTGGGGATTATAGCGCATGAAAAAGTCCAAGATATCCAGTCGGTACTTGTCCACCACAATTCGAGTTTGTACGTTGTGAAGCTGTTCGATTCCGTTGGCGAGCTCATCCTGCTTAGATAGGGCTTTCAACATTGTTTTCATCGAGTCTGCCGAGAGCGCAAGGGTCATAGTTTCCTTGTGTCGCGAGATCTCCTCCACCAGTTTCGTAACGTCCTCGCTCGTATACGGCCATTTCAAGCGGGTGATGACAGCCCGAGTGAGGCTGCCGTTCATTCCAGCAGCCGCCTTCTCCAACCGTGTTTTCGCATCCTGCACGGTCTGGCGGCAGGCGTTGACATGGTGAAGCCGAAAAAATGTATCCAACCGATCGTCTTCGAAAGATCGAGCGAGCAACGAGAGATCGTAGAGGAGAACGGATAGGCTTCGGATTTCGGAAGAGAGGGATGTGATGTCCTTCTTGGCGTCCTTGGCTTCGCGGCTGAATTTGCAGACAATTTGAAATAGTTCTTCGGTCAGCGCGATGAGACCTGCTATGCTTGCTGCGATGGACAGAGGGTCAGCCATTTGCTCTGCAGTCGGAAGTATGAGTGTGGGGTGTGAAAGTAGGTCATAAACATACTTTCAGGGATTTGGGGGCAGCGACAAGCGTTATATGTCAAAGTTGCCTCGACAAGGCTGCGTTGATACGCTGGGCTGGCGCACCACAGCCACTCTCCGCGGCTGCATCGGACTGTGCCGAATCATCGAGCAGGATGGGCAACATAGCCTCGTTTGGGTTCGGAAATAATGACAATTCAGTTCGTACTTGCTCAAGGTAGGGTTTGGAAGCGGCTATCTGCATTTTATGCCACGAGATGAGACGAAGGGACGAGAAAGTGTTCGATGAGAAGGGAGGTGGACACTGGAAAGAGCGCCGGAGACGCGGGGAACCTCCGATAACAAGCCACACTACGCTACGCCGATTCGGGAGCTCTGGCACCGCCCGATCATGTGAGCGTGGCTGGTGCCACCTGGCTGAACAGCAGTCACATGATGCCATCTCGCGATGTCTCTGCTTCTCCGTCTTCATCGACCGATGGGCATAACCGAAACTTGGTGGCTCGATTGCTCGAGTCTACGGAGTATATTCTTGTTTCTTGCCGGTAAAATGCGTTTATCAGGTTATCTGCGAGCGACAAGCCGCACTATCGCGCCCGACCAGTACCGGAAATATATATTCGAGCCAGAATGCTCTGGCTTGTGTAACCGGTGCACCTACACTGACCGCGCCATACTCATTATAATACCCAAATGCCATCTAACATCATTTCAGCAATCGCAAAAGCAAAGCGTGCAATTATGAAGTGAACCACCGATGTTCAGCTGAATGACAGGCCAGACGAGTAACATGGCAAGGTCTCCGCTCCAGCGCCTTCTACAAACCCATCAAACAACTCCGGAATCCGAGACCTGCCATCAACAAGAACAAGAGGATCTTCGCCTACATCGGTACAAATGCCAGACCAGATCTCCAGATTGATGACAAAACCGATGGCCTACAGAGAAACCAAAAATCAGCATCATCCCCGACACTTAGCCGGCCGACGGTAACTTACTCTCAACTTGCTCGCGACGCCTACAGCAAACCCAGCCTCCACCCCGAGTGAGTATTTCTGTTCCACTATACTGCAACGAAAGCTTGATGCGCCGCTTGGAACGACAAGATTGTCGAGCAACCCAGCATCTATCCCAGTGAAGCTCTCTACGCCGGGAATACAGCTGCAGTCTTGATTCATTGCGTCAAGGCTAAGGAGTTTTTCTGAACACACCCAAGAGGCATGATGCGTTCCAGCGGTGATGGTGGTCGTTCCTCGGAGAGTCAGTATCAGACTCCGCATTTTGATCGGGATGCTATGTTCCAAATGGACAGGAAGATGACGGATGCGCAATGATAACGGCAACTTCATACCCGGGCGAACGACGGGTGGGCATGGTAATACCCCCTCTAATATCAAGACGGGGATTCCAGGATCTGCAACATGATTTGCCGACGAGTCGATATAAAGTGCGGCTTGTCCGATCTGAGATACAGGCCTCATTGAAGGCAGCAAGGAGGAATCGGGTTCAGACGGGCGAAATTGGAGTTGGCGTTGGATTGAGATGCATTTTCGCAAGCGGCCAGGACGGGTAAGCTCTATCGTCAAGGCATATTTGATTTCCGCTGTTGCTCGGTGCTTTACTGAGTGAGCGTTGAACGACGGGGGAAGTTGGAGGCCCGAAGAGTTGAGCGCCCGGGGAAAGGTGATCTTGAATGGAAACCTGTATTCAGCCTTCGGGAGCGTATATTCTCGAGAGAGCTGAGGTATGTCCGGTGGAGGGAAAACGATTTCAGAAATAGCAAAGAGCTACGACGAGCGGTTAATCTATGAGAAAGACCGCAATCGCTTGCACGAACCTGGTGGCTCTCCTCCGCCACCGTGGGCACATCATTCCCCAGAACGAATGGCGAGCCCTTTTCGACGAGCGACGTGCTCACCCAGCCTAATGAGGAAAATCAGCTAGGTACCGTCAAAATAACCGGTTCGGCAAGACCTTCAAGGCGAGCAGCGATTGCTGAAATAACAGTCGAACAGTCCAACTTCAGCAAGACCGATCCGGCCACGGCGTCTCCAGGACTAAAATTCCTGTGATCGTCAAGTCCCTGCACATCCAGTTCGATTCCCATTTTGACAACAGTGAGAGACCCGACGGTCATCGAATACAAGCCACATATCGTTCCCCAACGAAGACATTATACCCGGCTGCGTTCTGCTTCAGAGGCGTTGTCGTTGGCACCGCGTCAGCTGGCACACCCTGCCAAGCAGCATCCCGCAGTATTCGCCATGGTCCAGCTGCACAGGGATCTGGGCAAAGTCATCGTGACCATGGCACCACCGTTCTCCTTTGTCCATGTACCCGTGCTACTCCCATCCACCAAGGCGGCATCAATGTCTCTAGACCCAAACGCCATTCAAGGGGCGTAGTTCGCCATCTAAGAGTTGTAGTTCGTGATACCCCAAGGCAGATGATAAGGCGTTGCTAAGAGATATCACGCGTGGAAACGAGTGCATGACTGCCATCTGAACCTAAAGCATCTCACTGGGATTCTTGGTCAAACATCGTTTCAATGCACTCCCCTCATCCCCGGGGCTGTATGCGAGCCCCCACGACCTCGCTGCACAAAGCCTCCTTCGCCCACCACGTCTGCTAATATTTCCCAATATCATGAGCGTAACCCGATGTCGCCATCAAAAGGCGCTATGGCGAAGCTTGGTCGAATGGCGGGCCGGGCGCCCAGCGGTTCCGAGCAAGCCACAGCCCTTATCCACGAATCTCGCCATTCCGCCATGACTTTCCTGCTTGGCGGCCACGGCCAAGGATCCCACCCAGCGTTTTGCTTCTTTCTGCTTGAGCACGCCATAACATTCGTCGTTAACGCGAGGCTGCTGCGACTGGGGAACTGGGGATAAAATGCCCGCATCTCCGGGTGTTCGGTCGGGAGTACTCGGTTGATCTATTGTCCTCGTCGAATCGAACATCGAGAAACATGGTTGACCTCAAGACCACTAGCCTCAACGTCCGTGGAAGGGACGAGGACAACGTGCCCGAGTATGTGGTGGATTGGACTGTCGAGGAGGAGAAGAAGGCGAAACGCAAGTGAGTATGCGAAGACCCTACAGTGCCACCCAGAAGTAATAAGATTTTCTCTCCAGGCTGGACCTCATGATCATGCCCATCCTAACGTTGGGCTTCTTCTGTCTCCGTAAGCCCCAGCCCTCTATACCTCCCACACTCTCTAATGCCTTCAGAACTCGACCGCGGCAACATGGCCAACGCCATCACCGACAACTTCATGGAAGACGTCGGCATCGACCAAGACCAGTTCAACGTCGGACAACAAATGCTCTCGCTCGGAATCGTGCTGACCGAAATCCCCTCCAACATGATCCTCTACCGCGTCGGACCCGGTAAATGGCTCACGCTGCAACTCTTCCTCTTCGGAATCGTGAGCACCTTCCAAGCATTCCAACACGGATACGCGGCGTTTATCATAACCCGCTTCCTGCTCGGCATCACGGAGTCTGGATTCATCCCCGGCGGTCTGTGGACTCTCTCCACATGGTATACCCGCGACGAAACAGCCAAGCGCGTCATGATCTTCTACTTCGGGAACCAGATCGGGCAGGCCAGTGCGAAGCTGCTTGCGTATGGCATTTTGCATATGCGGGGTGTCGGCGGGAAGGCCGGTTGGTTCTGGTTGTTTGCCCTTATGGGTTCGTTCACCGTTCTCAGTGGTTTTATCTTTGGGTTCTTCTTGCTTGACTCGTTCAAGAACCCGCATAGTACGTTCTTGCCGAAGGTGTCGCGGTTCACAGAGAGGGAGCTGCATATATTGCAAACAAGGGTCCTACTCGATGATCCGATGAAGGGAAAGAAGAAGAAGAAGATTCGAGGGGATGCTTTCAAGCGAACAGTAAGGCCAACTTCAACGTCCTTCATTGCGCGTGGTTTAATGGGCTTTCTAGTTTACGGACTGGCGCATCTGGATCCATTTCCTCATCACCCTCTGCAACAACGGTCCGCAGCGCGCATTCGACACCTACGCCCCCTCGATCGTCACCAGCTTCGGCTTCGGCAGCCTCATCAGTAACGCCATGGCGTCTGTTGGTCTGTGGCTACAGGTCCCAATGTCGTTTGCATTCAGCTACGTATCGGATAACTAGTGAATCCGCCTATCATACTCTTACCATACTCCCTCTCTGACCATGGAATCTTCTCATAGCAACCGCCGCGGCGAAACCGTCATCCTCGGCCTCTTCTGCCACCTACTCGGCTACATTTTCAACCGAGCTTTCACGGACGTGCACCTCCGCGGCGTGCGCTACTTCGGCGTCGTCTGGACGCAAATCTTCGGGACATTCTCGCACCCGCTGAACATCGCGTGGTTGTCGCTGACGTGCCATGATTCAGAGCAGAGAGCACTTTCCATGGCTGGGTGAGTTGATAACCTGCTGTCCTTTGGATGTTGGCTAATCTTGGTCTGTCTAGGGTTATAATGGGCGCGAACATCGCTGGCATCTACGGAGCGCAGATCTTCCGCTCTGATGATAAGCCGCTGTACCGCCGCGGCTTTAGTGTTGCGATCAGCGTGCTTGCTTTTGGTCTTTTGCTTGCCATCGTGCGGTATGTGGATACGCTTATCCATCGTCGTCGTAAGCTGCGGGCTGTTGAGCGTGAGAGCGAGCATGGGGAGGAGGGTGTTGTTGGTGCGAGCAAGACCTAGAACATTCTGCAAGACTGGAATCCCGGCGATCTTGACCGGCGGCTAGAGTCTAAATGTATCTGGTTTGTTATTTGCTTTTATGCGTACCCTGAGGTGATATGCTTGCCGACAGTACGGGATCTGTCGCTTGGGCGCCAGACTGGGATATCTTACCAACGGAAGTAGGTTTTGGCGGCCTTTATGCTCCTAATCAGACTTGATTGGTCTCGTATGCATAATTCGAGTTTTCCGTGGTCAATAGTTTTGAATCTGTAGGGGGCTCTGGATATTTTGGTACAAGGATTATACGCTGTGTGATGATAAATATATACCTGCGACATTCTCAATCACATTGATATTTGCAAAAGTCAAGATCAACTGGGATAAAATATTATGAAGATGCATCATAAATCATGGAATTAAGCGATGTATCTTCCAATATCGCCTCGCCTCTCGTCAACCTTTCCAGTTGCCTATGGTACCCTTAAAATAACAACGGAGTATTCATCCCAGTGGGACGGACACGAAAAGTACTTTCCTCTCATTGGTCGAACAGCATCCACATGACATCGAAAAGGCAAATAGACCACGTCTGACACCTCTCCATGAGATTCAGCGTGGGAATGCAGCCTTCAGCCCCATCTGGAGCCGCAAGTGAAGACATACCCCCGCCGAGCACGAAGGAACGCTGAAAATGCCATTGACTGCCGCGGAAGCCTTCAGCATCTACGAAATCACGGAGCAAATCCTCCTACAACTAAACGACCCCGTAGAGATCATTCGGGCCAAGTGCGTATGCCGTACATGGAGAGATGTGATCCAATCTTCCCCGGCGCTCCGAACCGCCTGCTGGTACCAAGTTCAGCCCTACAGAACCACAAACGCTGAGACGGAGCCTGGTTCGCTTCCAGACCAGCAAGCCTGGTCGCTGAACCCCGCCTTCAACCACATCGGTGTCTCGGTATCCAAACATTCGGGTGATTTCGACCTACAGAGGCGCATTTACCACAAGCCGGGGTCATGGGCGACCATGCATGCCACCAACCCTCCGTGCCAGCGAATAATGGTCGAATGTTACGACTACCAAGGTGTCTACGACGCGACAATGTACGGACCAAATCCCAAGTTTCCTGCACGCTGGCTGTTTCCTTCCAAGCGAAGTTTTGAGTTAGCTGATATCCTTGATCCAGGTTGTACATGGTCATATCTCCCAAGGAGCCTCTCCTCATGGGCGACATCATGGCCGTGCTTGCGGAATGCCAAAAGAGACAGCAGTCCGGCGTTGATCGTTGGGCTGGTGTGGTGCACCGCACGGGCGGCATAGTCCAATGGAGGGAGAACTATCTGGCAGAATACCATTGGGGTACGCTGGAAGGAATGCCAGATGACAATGTCTCGGTTAAAGTTGCTGTCGACCTGCCGTTTGGGTCGGGGACGTATCCTGCGTTCTCGCTTCGGCGGGTCCAGGGGATCGGTGGCAATGCGTTCCTGCATGAGACAATTGTGCATGAGATGGTGATGCCTGGTGGGAGTGTGTATGCGTGGGGGTGGGAGTATGGACTGGAAGAGCCGGAGTGAGTGGAGGTACGACGCGAACTACTTACTGGTAGTTAAGAAACATCGAGAATTGTATCTCTCGTTCTGCAGGGATGGTTTTCGCTTGATATCGGACGTCACAGGAGATGCATAGCAATAAGTATCTCACTCTTCAGACTCATACTGCTGCTGTCAAGCAACTATAGTCCAGCAAACGTCCCATATGTATGTCAAGTCAAGCTTTCTCCATGTCTTGATCGCGTGGCACTCAGTTTCATCTCGGGAATCGGGATGGCGGCCCCGACGGGATGTGCGGTAGTTATTCCCGACGGGATCTCGGAGAGGAACCCGACGGGATCTCGGACAGAAACCCGACGGCATTTCGGAAAGAAACCCGACGGGAAGATCCCGTTCCATTCTGATTGGTGCGCACCATATCCCACAAAGCGGCCCGAAAGCTAGAGATAAGACAAGCTTCAAAACCTTATATTTAGCACTGATCTTATTGATCAAAGCGGCTTTATCGATCGGCTTTGTCCGCTGCAACGACGCATGGGCCAGTATCTGGGCCTGGATTCTGGATGTCAGAGTTCTCCAAGTCTCCAACTCACGAGATCAAACCCCCAGAAAGTGAACAATATGGGGTAACGAATCGATTTAAACCAACCCACCAGCGATGGTCGGGATAGCTGGACTCTTTCTTGACCCAGTTCAAACACGACTTTCAACCCCGAGCAATGGCCGCCACGCGGTAAAGGCGCGTCGTCTTCGACGTCGTCTATAAGAACACTGTCGCAGCTTCCATACTCATTGGTAATTGGATTCTTAAGGATGAACAGGATTGTTAAATCACATACAAAGTTTTCTTTCAAGGCCTGGGGTCCCGTCTTGCGAACGCCTCCGAGCACTAAACATGGGGTCTCGGATTTTCGGCTACGCTTGGATGGCAGCCGCCCAGAAAGAATACACCTCCAGCTTATCTGAGTCTGATACCCGGTGAGTATGTCAAGGTATTCGACGTGCTCCGGGGCGTATTCTACGGGACATTGTGACAAACAGGGATCGCAGAACAGAGGGAACTCGCAAGCGACGAGGACAGAGAGTTTTTTCTAGAATCGCCCCGAGGAAGGATATCTTCGTGAGCTGTGATGCGATTGGAGCCGGGAAGCCGCAGCCGACTCCGTATCGGTTTATCGGGGATAAGTTCCCGACCGGCGAGGATAGGGGTGATCCCGTGTTATTTGGGAGAAGCAAGGAGTGTTAATTTGTGTGAGTTGCAGGTTCCAGGGCGCCCGGATATCGGTTTCGGAGAAGGAGGCTTGCTTGTGTATATTGAAAGGGATGGATGTTGTGGCTGAAGATCTTCCGGGATTGGCAGACGGTATAGTTGGGTTCTCGAAACTATAGAATGTGGTCGGACTGGACATTTTGAATAATATGGAACATTCGAACGACGCATTAATGTGTGACTTCTAGTTGCTATAGTATTGTAGAAGTTGGGGTCCGGGCTTCTTTATCAATTCAACGTAACCGTGTCCATAGATGACAAGCCTATGGGACTACGCCGATGATGAGGTTGGTGCTGATGAAGATATCTCCCTATTCCATACAAGCTCCGATTGTCCTTTAACACGCTTATCATGCATTTGTCTATAGCTTCGTTTGGTTACTACTATGCCCCTTCAAAATTTCACTCTTCGAAGAAGCGAGCCGCTCCTTCGTAGCCTTCAATATCCCAGGAGTGCCCGTTTCCTCAAATATCCTCCCATGCCGCAGCATATGGACAAGGCCCTTTGCAAGAGAAGAATCAACGCCATAGCGTATCCCGACAACACCGTGAGAATTATCTAGTTAGGCTTCCCTCGAACTTTGCGAACATACGGCATAAAGTCAGAAGCCCAACCATGGCTGAATACAGGGCTTAACATATATCATAGTAGAGTAAAGGGGTACTAAGCTTGAACTTACTCCCCGTCCAGACCCTGTCCGTCTTCGCACCACTCTCCTCCCACCCGATGAACATCCTCGGCATTAAGCCATCAAAGTGCGAGACCGCGGGATCAAAGAGCTTACTATTATCGGTGAATTGTACCACTGCGACTTATCATGCCAGAATTTTGGCTTTGCGCCGCCCACGATGATACTCCCGTCAGCTTGGGAAATCAAATGGTCGTACTCTCCAGCTTCGTATCGAATGCTGTAGGTATAGGGCAGAGACTGGGGAGACTGGTGCCTGGGGACGGTGGCGGCTGCATATGCCGCGGATAGGGATGATGTGGTTCTTGAACTGTGGTGCCAGATGGGATGCGTACGCGTTTGTTGCTAAGAGCACTTTCGGTGATGTCTCCTCGTTCCGTGTAGACGACCCAACGTCCGTCTGGTAATGGACTTTCTGAGATGCTGGTTGCAGGTGTATGCGATCGCATATTTGCCCCTATTTGACTGCGTTCAGGTGTAGGTTTAGGACCATCTTGTCAGATATAGCTTGCGGAGAATGTATAGCAAGACAGGGCGCCTTTGACCTCCGATAACTGACGGTCTCGGCATCTTTTCCGTGGGCATAAAGGACATCCTGGAGATTAGCAACTCCGGGAATTCCCAGCTCTGTAAAGGCGCGATGAGTATCGTCAGAGAGCTTCGGATCCAGCGTCGCATCGCAGGACCTGGTAAGGACAAGATCACAGTCGATATCCTCTTTCTCAACAAGCTACTTGACGGCATGAACTGGTGAAGCTTTGAACTTGGCGACCTCGACTGCAGCTTTCACCCCGTACTTCATGTATTCAGGCTCTTCATATAAACAATAAGCCAAGGCGGTCCCAGCAAAGCCACTCCAACAATAAGTACATCGCATTCGCTCGGTGGATCTGAGGTAGAGCGATGGCTGTCCAGCTCGTGGAGCTCAGTCGTCCAGAATGTGGTTGTTGCGTTTGAGACCGGGGTGCCATTGTGCTACTCGTGACTAACATCCTCAACGTGATATCGGCTATCATCCGATACTTAAAGGACCCGTTATCTGGAATGGCAGGATTAGCAAGGCTCATCTGCGAATGATAGCGTGGGGGACATCTTGGTCATGGGACTAATCAGTGCACTTCATCGAGAACATCCGTCTGGAACCGTGATTGAGAAATACGTTACTAATTTCAACCAAATAATAAGGGCAACAGGCAGCGGCTTCCTGGCGCAGATAAGGCAATTCATATAGCGCAAACAGCCCTCAACGTCTGTAGCAGCAGGTGATGATGAAACTGCAGCCAAAATATCTGACTCGACTGTCCAGCTGACGTGTTCCAACCCACTGCGAACATCTACCCATCGAGATAAACAGCAAGGGAAAGAGAGTCCTTTGACTGGACTGACCGGGCATGATACCCGTAAGATGGCAACCTGGATTGTTTGTTTGCCATCTATGCTTGCGTATGACTAGGACCTCTTGCTGCGGGGTCGATATCAGGTGCCCTAGAAGGCTCCAAAGTCTAGGCAACCCTCGGTCGGTGCTGCCAAAGTGCGCTCAATGTTCTGATGGCAGTTTGCGTACATTACGCATAAGATACTATAGTACTCTGACGCGTTCGGGACTTTTTTCCAACAGCGGCACAACGGAGCAAATCTGCTCAAGCACGTAGGGACGGCATGAAGCTGGAAACGCTAGGGTTCGAATCCCGAGCTATGTATCGTAGCGTTGTGTCATGAGCTGCATCTCGGCTCGGGATATACATGGCTGATCCGAGGGTCTTTGGCACATGATTGGATGCCAGGGCACCTGCACCTTTATCTCGGGGTCTAGAAGCAAACATTGGCATATCGTCAACATGATCTAGATAGAAATCCGAGTGGCGTCCATCGGCTCCCAAATCTGTCGACGGCGCACAGCCCAAACCTACTCGAGTCAGGAGGATTTCCAATACGGGTTGTGTTTCCCCAGAGCAGTGTCAATGCATGCAGAGCTTTGCATCCTTCGGGATTGTGACCCTCTGCTCCATCCGTCGAGATAAGGATATCCGGGGTCAGATGAAGAGAAATCAGTGATATCAAGGACAGGATGAAGATATAAGGGACTGTCAGTCTTCGAGGAGTGGAACAGATTCCATCATTGATCCCACAACCTCCAGACTGCATTCACAACAACTCCAAACCATCTCCACTCAATTCATACCTCCAGCCAAAATGGCCCCAGCAGCCCTCCTCTCTCAAACCATCACGGATCCAGTTCCCACCGCACCAACAGTCGTCGGTCCAACAACAAAGACAGCAACCAGACCAACCAAGAAGATCCCCCAGTCTATCATCGACAATGCCAGACTCACCGAGCGACGCCCCTTCAACCCTCAGGACGACCTGATCTACGAACCGCCATCTAAGATCCATACCATGGCTGAACTCGGCCTCGAAGGCGCAGGAATCTCGCCCAACGCCATCTCCGAGCCTTTCCCGCTGTTCACGGAGGGAGCGATTCGCCAGATGAGAGCTGAGGTATTCAGTGAGCCTGTGTTAGCGGATTGTCAGTACGCGAGTAGCTTTTGCACCAACATGATAAGGGGGATGGGGCATGCGTATGTGGCTTCCTTTTCACTCCCTGAGTAAACACAGAAAGCCATGAATAATGCTAAGGATACTCCAGGCGAGCCCCCTTCATCTGCGACGCCTGGAAGTCCCCCGAGGTCCTGTCCAAGGTATCCTCGATCGCAGGCATTGACCTCGTCCCGGCCTACGACTACGAGATCGCGAGCATCAACATCGCCGCTAAGGACGACCCAGTCGAGTCCAACTCCGTTGCAGCAGATGGTCCAGCCGGCGCTAAGTCCGGCGAAGACGACGACGCCCCCGCCTTCGCATGGCACTACGACAGCTTCCCCTTCGTCTGCGTGACCATGCTCTCAGACTGCACCGGGATGGTCGGCGGCGAGACGGCGATCAAGTTGCCCTCAGGCGAGATCAAGAAAGTCCGAGGGCCGGCCATGGTGTGTCACTTCCCATCCCGATCTTAAACGCAGATCTAATGGTGCTTGCTGCAGGGCTACGCGATCGTAATGCAAGGCCGCTACATGTACCACCAAGCCCTCAAGGCGCTTGGTGGACGCGAGCGGATCTCCATGGTGACGGCGTTCCGGCCTAAGGACCCGCTTGCGCGCGACGAGTCGATACTCGTTGGTGTTCGGGGGATCAGTAACCTGGGCGAGCTGTTCCCGCAGTACTTTGAGTACAGGCTTGATGTGCTGGAAGAGCGGGTTCGGGCGCAGCGGAGGGAAGAACGGGACAGGGAACGTGCGCGGAAGCCGTTCGATGTTGCGGGGAAGCGCAGGTGGTTGGAGGAGCAGAGGGGGTTTATTGATAGTATGCTGAGGGAGATGATCGTCCCCGAGTAGCTGATTGAATTGGATTGGAAGGGTGTTATGCTTTTAGCCTTTTCGTTGAATGGAATTGTCCTGGTTCTACTTGCTTTTGTACGTTTCGTCGTCGACGTCGTAAGGGCCCGATTGGAATTGATATTGCCCATTGGGAAGCTGGCTCGGGGTGAAAACCTGGGAATGCGTTGCTCTTTCATCCCAGTCTACGCCTCGAAGACTGGTTGTGTCCCATTGTGTTTGAGAGCCTTTGGCGAGAGAAGCGCACTTGGCAACTGGTTCCAACGTCTCCAGTCCATGTCGCAGGCTTTCTCTGAACTCGGTACGTAAAAGAGGGCACTCATCCTGAAATTTGTCCCTGGCAAGACTGCGCAGGTGCCTCCATTGCCGCCACATAATTGCCATCCCGAGTACCTTGCCAGTGGTAAAAAGCGCAATTACGGCAACCCTGAATCCCATAAGGTCTTTGAACGCCGACCTATGGCACTTGTCTGATTGGGATCAAAGTTTGAGGGATAGAAGGCCGTGGGCAAAACATCTCCCGCGACAGGGAAGATCGCAACGGAGATAGTTCGATGAATGGATGGAATATCCTGGCTCACAGGGAAATTATCCTGGCTCACAGGGGATACGGGATGGGTTAGCTTTGAACCTCCGCCGTGATGTCCAACCTGGTGTTGGTCGCGTAGTCAACCTGTCTTTGTACTAGCAATAGCTTTGCGTATGGCAGTGGTACATGCTCCGCACAGAAGATATACATGCATGCGCTACATTGACATTGGCGACCTGAACCGTAGCACGAAACAAGACAACATCCTCCCACATGCCGCCAAATTTCAGGAGTCCACCTGGCTTGTCATAATGATCGTAAGCAACAAAACTCTGATAGGCTAACTTGACCCTGCGTAGCGCGTATATCTGCAGTTTGCCATGGGGAGATTGGGAGGGGGAATACGAGCGAGCTGAAACGAGGGTCCGATTATCTTCCCAGCCATCTCGTCTTCACCTCCAACGGGTACAAGTCTGGAGATCCATTGTAGGACCCGTTTGCCAAACTACAGAGTTGGACTGGGAAGTTGCTACTCGACGGGGCTCTCAGAGAAGGAGCGACCTTAAGGGAGCTGAATTTCCTCTTCCAAAGCCTGCTTGCCTCTCTCACCCAGACCAGAACTCTTCTGAGTCAATACGACGTGGCACAGCAACCGCCCTGTCGAGATGGCCAATGGATTTATGTACGACCCTAAGCCATCAGAGTTGGTTCACAGCCTATGCTTAAATCCTCCAAGGGCCCACCGGCTGCCTTCAGTTCCCTAAGTAGCGTTTGCCGCTCCAGCCTTTTCAGAAGGACGCCTACGTCGAGAGTTTCTCATGATGGCCACCGATCAGAATGAACCGATGTCGTACCCCTATGAGGCCCTTGATGTTGCTCAGGCGCCCGAGCCACCAGAGTACAAGCGTCATCACATCTTCTCGCCAAGCGAATGGTTGTTAGAAACAGCCACTTCCATTCTTGCTCTGGGGTTATTGATCGGAATTGCTTATATATTCTGGTACATGGACAACAAGCCCCTTTCAGCATGGAGAGGCCCTGTGTCTCTCAGTGCGTCGATCTCCGTCCTTACCACCACGTGCGCTACGGCTCTAATGCACGGTGCAAGCACGTTCATCGGTCAGCTCAAGTGGCGCCATTTCAGGAAGAGCCCACAAAAGCTCTCCCATCTTGAAACATTCGATGAAGCAAGTCGCGGTGTGTGGGGATCCATCTTGCTCCTAACGACAGTGAAATGGGACATAGCCACGATCGGGGCAGTCATCACCATCTTGAGACTTGCCTTCTCGCCGTTCGCACAGCAGGTCATCCTGATAGAGCAGCGGGATACTATCACTGCGGACGATACCGTCACGTTTGGGTACACGCACAATTACAGTCGGAACTTTGACGGAGAACTAGCCAACACTCGTGTCGGTAAGCATCCCCATGAGACCCTTCGTGTATCCTGTCTACTAACAAGTCCCCCCTGGCGTAACAGAGGCCTTTCCGCAAGACCCTAGCCTGCAGTCCGCCATAGTCCAGGGCCTCTATGGTATCATCTCGCCCGCAATCTTTACCTGCCCCAGCACGTGCCGATGGACAGGCTCATACATCACCCTTGGCTTCAAGAGCTCATGCAGAAACGTCACCGAAGCTACTTTGAGATCAGCAGACTGTACATTTGATTCAAGGCTGCACAACTCGACATGTGTTATGACGACACCGGGAGGAGTAGGCGTTGTCACCAGATACTGGTACACCGACCTGGCAACGAGCTATTACATGAATGCAACCTCTCTCCTGGACAACAAATCAGGCGTTCAATATTCCGTCCTGCCGGACACATTCCCCGAGCTCACGCGATTCGCCATCTACAGAGCAACACCAGACGACAACTTTAATGCAACAAATATCAATGTGACCCAGTGCTCGCTGTTCCTTACGGCATACGAGTATGTCGATGCCAATGCCAACGGGCAGGAATTCACGTTTGGCCGTGTCCGTGAGCTCAACTTCGAAGATAAGAACCCCTGGGCTCCAGATGGGAGTGTGGACTATCCTCAATACAAGACAAACCAAACACAGTTTGGCGACAAGTTGGTTCCCGAGCTGGGAACAAACCACCCAACTCTCATTGCGTTGGAGAACTTCTTCGAGTCCTCTGCCATTGTCACCGAGTGGGTCAAGGGGAACTACGTGAACAAGAACTCCGGCCTGGCTGCGGCGCTGGCTGGGGACGTTGATATCCCCGCCCGCTTTGAGCAGATGGCCGGCGCCATGACGGACTATCTGCGATCCACGGGGCCAAATGCACTCCTGGCCCATGGAGATCGAGTTGAAAGCGTGCCGTTTGTGTCATGCCGGTGGCCTTATTTCATCGTGCCTGTTTTGACGGAGGCACTCGCATTCTTGTTCGCTGCTTTAACCTGCCTAAGTAACAGGGGGAGCAAACGCATTCCGCTTTGGAAGTCTTCAACCCTGGCCGTGCTGGCTTGCCACTATGACGACCAGGTTGGAGTGCTGCGTGGCTCCAGTGAGGATGTTGAAGAGCTTGAGACGGCAGCGGAGAAGGTAAAAGTGCAGCTACTGTAGGCAATTTGGGAAGTCAACATGTACTAGGTAGAGATTATTCTTCGGCCATTCTATTCACGATTTTATATTCATGACTCTTCTCCCTAAGTCTATAGCAATGCCGTGTCCTGACAATGCTGCTTCAAAGTGGCCACCAAAAATTTGCATTTTGAGTACAGAGGGGATCCTCGATGCCATCGGATAGCCATGATAACCATAGCGTGTACACTAGGTAAACTTATCCCCTGGTATATGGAATGCGTCATTGTGTCTAAAGTTATCTGTGAGTCTATCCTGGATAAAGTATCGGCCAATATATATTTGCTTGGTGGACGGACCATTTCTTGCCTACGTTTTAACCCGCCCGCTTACCATGCTCTATATCTCCGAGTTAAAAGAAAACGACAACTGTCCGTTCAACTGGCTGCCCGCCTTTTGTCTTTGTTAGCCTAGCATACTCTACAAGGTATACTATATATGCCGTAACTGCCTAAGCTTGGAATGATCGCCAGGCTGTGTTGATGAATGCGGGGAAATCCTCATATCAAGCGCCGATCGCATCACGTCCATCTGACCGGGAGTCTGATGCTCGTCATGTGTCGAGTCAATTGGAGACAGGGCATGCGGGGAGAGGCCTGGTCGTCAGTGTGCATCTGTGTCCACGGGCGGAGACAGCCCTCACCTAGGGTAGGTACAGATCCATGCATCGGGAACAGATCCCGAGACGATGGGAAGCGGAGAGATTGGGATAGGCACTACCAAGACTACCGGAGAGCACGTAGCTATCCCTCCTCATTACAGCGTCTCATACACTTCTGCTTGATCGAGATAAGGAGTATAATATGGTACCATTCAGCCCGAGCTCTCATTCCTCCTGTTCCCTTGTCAAGTGAAGGTGCATATGGTATTCTTCTCTAGGGTTGATTACATGGTCCCCTCCCACTCCTGCTCCCCGCCATCCAGCACGCCCAAACTCCCCGGCGCAATCTGATTCACCAGCGAAAAGAACTCATACGACGAGATCCCAATGCTATCCAGGATATCCATATTGGCCGCCTGCGCAGCCAACACAGACGGCGACTCGGGTATGGCCATGTTGATACCGTCGCCAGCACCATCCGCCAAATCCACATTCACACCGGTCTCTTCCGCCCCCTCCATGCGCGCAAAGTACTCCGCCGCCGTGACGCCTCCGTACTCCGAGGGCGCAGGGCAGGGGAGGATAAGCGTCTCCAGACCCCGGCGTTCAATCCGCGCCGAGAGCTCGCGGAACAGGGTCTCCAGCTGCACGAGCTCCGTCTTCCGTGCGCCGGCGAGCTTATTCCCGCGCGACACCATCTGGTCCAGAATCGCGTAGGCGTCGCCGATCTGGATGTATTCTTGGCTTTCGGTTACGTTGGGGAAGAGCGCGCCGGCCATTGTGACGTGGAGCGCGGCGGCGTAGGTGAATTCCATGTGGAAGGGGAGGAAGACTTCTATGCATCCATGGGAATCGAGGTTAGAGCGGGTGTGTGATGATGGGTTGGCGGTAGGTACGATACCTAGGAGGCTGTCCTCGTCCGTGAGGATCTGCAGCGTCTTCGCGGCGGATTTTATCCCCGCTGAGATGAGGGCGTTTGTGGGCGCGACTATGCTCTGCCAGTCTTCGGCGCCGTGGTCGAGCTTTTGCAGGCGTTCTTTGAGGACGGAGAGGAGGAGAGGCCGGGTTGCGACGATTACGCACTGGGTACATCGTTAGAGTCCTCCGGCTGAAAGGTTTGGGAAGGGACTCACCTGGTGGTATAGCAATGTGATGTGCCTCGTCCCCTTGGGCATGGTATCGACCGAGTTCTGGAACTTCAGCTGGATGATCCGTTCGATTTCACGCGCGTGTCCGGCAAGCACATGCAGAATTGACCGCGTTGTCTCCAGGAACGTGCCGAGCTGAGTTTCAGTGCCTTTGTAGATAGCTGCGGCCATTAGGATCTCATACTGCCTTGATCCCAACATGAAGGGTGTGACATACAAGAGAGGATATACGAAAGCAGATGACTCAACCTAACCGACAGACTCAGCGTCGTGTCATTCTGCGAGCAAGCAATAGCCGTCGGCGGATCTAGCAACGTCGTGATATCACTGTCCTCCTGCGTCATGGACGCGCCAACAGAGGAGGAGATATGCCGGTCAAGCACGTAGAGCGTCCACCAGAGATTGCGGCACCGCGCGACCGTCTCAGAGCCCAGCTCGTCTTCGGGGAGTTGCGTGTGCATGCCGTCCATTTGCGCGATGCGGATTGCGTGTCCGACCTGCCCGACTCGTTAGATACCTGTGTCCCTAAGAATGAAACTGGTGGCGTACATAAACATGCGCCGAACTCCGATGATCAATGGAGTAAAGGTACAACCCCGTCAGCGCCAGAACCTCAATGGCCACAAACCCACCTCGCGACAAGCTCGTATGATCGGGCATCAGACTCATCGCGCGGATAAAGAACTTCGAGCCTGGCGGGTCATTGTCCGTACTAGAGCTTGAGCTCCCCTTCTGCCCAGGGAAGAGAAATGCATTTCCAAACGCCAGGACAAGCAAGAACTGCACGAACCACAACCGGCATTCCTTCACCTGCTTGATGGCGTCTTCGTAGTAGAACGCGTGCATGTGCTCGATAAACTCGCCTTCATGGATAAGCCGGAAATTGTGCCCTAGGTGGAACTTGACCGTGTTGAAGAAGTAGAGGGCGTGGTCGAGGGATGGGAGATTGCTGATGTCCGGGACTGAGCCCACGGGTAAGGGCGACCATTGAATGGGATATAGATCGCCGTCAAAGAGCTCCGCACTGCTATAGTGCGATTCGACGTGCAGTTTCTCGGCGATCATAAGTTTAAGCCGGGCAGTGAAGGACCAGGCTGATGTTGGGGCTAGCCATGCTGCGACCGTTAGCGGTATACCTCTGGTAGGGTCAATGAAAGATAGAGGTGCGGCGTACTCCAATTCCGCTTCGACTTGTGGTTCTTCTTGATAATACGAGAGGGCAGTGTGAACGGGCTCGTCCAGATCGTTCGCTCCGAGTCCACGGCCAGCGGTATCTCTGGTGGCGAGGTGAGGGTGCTCGCAGAGCAAGTGTTGCCAGTGCTCCCGAGAATCCCATCAATATCCACCTCGACCTCATCTCCAAACGCCGACGTGGATGTTCTCTTCACGGACGTTCGCGTCGGTTGGTCTTGGAGACTATGGCTCTGCGATGGCGATGTCTGCTGCAACGGTTGCCGCTGTCGCTCACCGGCGGTGGCCCTCTTCTGTAACTCAAGCTCGCGCAAGTACCTGTTGCGATAACATATCTCAGCTTCAGCATGGCGACGGATTCAGATGGTAGAGCTTGTCGCACCTTTCAGACACCATGACCTTGCTAACAGTCTCGAGGAAGCGACAGTCGACGCGGCGGCGCTGGCAGTTCGCGCAGGGGTGCTCGCCCGTGCATTTGATCTTGCTGGTGCGGCAGGCGATGCATCTGCGACAGCTTGTTAGTGACGTGTTTCCCCGCTGTCTGTGTCGTAGAGGCTGGAGGCGGCGCATACGCGTTGGAAGTGCGCTTCAGCTTGCGCGGGCCAGTTCGGGCGGTTGCCATCGTGGAGGCAGCGGTAGCACCAGCGGGAACAGGATATATGGGAAGGAACGAGACATGGAGATGACGAAGTGAGGTTGGAAAAGCGTGTTATCGCGGGCGTTCTCCGATGACAGCTCGCTTGATGAGCGTGGACCCCGCACGAGGCGTGTTGGAGATCGACCGCGTGGGGAAAGTCTTGCCGATTCTAGTCAAAGAAGCCCGGACTTGGCTTGAAAGGTGCTAGTTGTGTCCAAGCATCAGGCTAGGCCGACTATGCTACTAATGTAAGGTGTGTGTCGTAGGGCTTGGTGCATCCTGGCGAGGGGAGATTGCGAGAGAGGGGACAAGAGAGAAGGCTGTTCGCTAAAGACAGCGTTATCTCACGTCTCTTATCTTCCTCTCGTTTGAATCATAGTGGACAAGAAGCCTGAGCTAGACTAGCCCTTCCGCGTAAGTACTCTGCGATGCAAATGCAGTTCTCATTGGACGCTCGGCTTCAGAACCCGACGCGGCGGAGAAGCCGAGATATATACTCGCCATAAACATCCCCTTCATACTGAACCCCCAATTCTGAATCTTCTTGGGTTTATATTGACAGTCCAACATGTTCGACCTCCTCGTCGTCGGCGCCGGCCTCAGCGGACTGCAAGCCGCCCTCTCCGCCCAACAAGCAGGCCTCACCGTCGCAGTCATCGAAGCCCGCGACCGCGTCGGCGGCAAAATCTGGAGTGTGCCTCTTGCTTCAGGGCGCGGGTACGCTGATCTCGGAGGCGCATGGATCAACAAGTCGCTGCAAAAAAGGGTGGGCGCGTACGTGGACAAATTCGGTCTGAAGACAGTTGTTCAGAGGCTGGAAGGCAAAGCCGTCATGCAGCAGGCGCCCGGGGAGAGATTCGAGTTTCCGTTTGGCGTTACGCCGAGTGATGTATGCTCTCTGTTCTAATCAGCCGATTCTTGGGGAAGTGGTTCAGGCTGATGGATTGCAGTTCTCTCCTGAAGAAAAGAAGAGCCTCGAGATGGTGCGCGACCATATTCAGGCTGAGTCGCTGAAGCCCGGACCGCCGAGGCTCGAAGACGACAACGTCAGTTTGGATCAGTATGTGCGTGATCTGGGTGCGTTACCGGGGACCATCAAGATGGTGAATATCTGGGCGCAGGTCATGCACGGCTTAGACTCGACGGAGTACTCGGCAGCCTGGTTTATCGACTACTGTCGCAAGAATCGGGGGCTGTTGGCTATCCGGGCTGACGATGCAAGTGGAGGGCAGCATTTGCGGTTCAGGGATGGTGAGTATAGCCTCCACTGATCTATATCAACCCCTCGTCACCGTTGAAATGAGAAGCTAATGACTGTAGGCGCCCAATCCCTCGCCACCAACATCGCAGCCCTCGTCGGCGCCCCAAACATCCACCTCTCCTCCCCCGTGACCAGCATAACCGACCACGGCTCCTACACAAGCATAACAACCACAACCGGACAGACCTTCACCGGCCGCAAAACCATCATCTCCATCCCAAGCACCATGTACAAAGAACTCAACATCCAGCCTCCTCTCCCTCCGCGTCTACAAGCCATCACAAACGCCACCACGCTCGGCGACTACAACAAAGCGATCGTGTGCTACGACCGCCCCTGGTGGCGCGAGCACGGGTTCAACGGCTACTTCGCCTCGTACGTTGGGCCCGTCATTCTCGCACGCGATACATCCGTCGACGAAGTGGGCAACTACTGCCTAACGTGCTTTGTGAATGGGAAGCCCGGTCGGGGGTGGGGGAGGCTGCGGGCGCATGAGCGGCGGGCTGCGGTGCTTGCTCAGCTTGCGCAGATCTTCGGGCATGAGGAGGAGGTGTACAAGCCGATTGAGTTCTTTGACCAGATCTGGCAGGCTGAGAGGTATAGTCGGGGGGCGTTGGCGCCGATTACGGCGTTGGGCCATCTGGTGGAGTATGTGGATGTGTATGGGAGGGCTGTTGGGAATCTGCACTTTGTGGGCACGGAATATAGTCCTGAGTGGAAGGGGTATATGGAGGGGGCGATTTGTTCGGGGGAGGTTGGGGCGGGCGAGGTTGTGCAGGCGTTGAAGGGGAGGGAGAGGGCGAATTTGTAGTGAACTCATCATTGTGCTAGCATATCTTCAAGATTTCTATTGTGTATTGCATCGCTAGGGTCCTGCTGTTCAAGGATATCTTAAAGTACTTTGATTGGGTTCCCCCTGCTTGACCGTCAGCTCTCAGGGCACATCAAATAGAGCGGTTATAGCTTAAGGTAACGAGACATACTGTGGCGCATCCCCGGAATTTCAGCGGCCTGAGTTAAAATAGGCATGGGCATTGGCAACCCCGACTTGGGCCTTGGCTTGGTCACTTCTTGAGAGTTAGAGGCGTGTAGTTGGTATAGGGTGAGACGGAGGATGAAAAGCGTACTTGGCGGTTGCAGTGCTGTCCACAACTTTATCGAACTGCTGTGCGGCGTCGATGATGGCATTGGGGCCTGGAACCGGTGCAGAGACGGCCAGGGCCGCGAGAAGACAAACAGGGGCGAAAGGGAGTTTGAAAATGTGCATTATGGATGGCTGTAGAGGGTAAGGCTTTGATGGAGCGCGATTATTGTTGTTGATGCCTTTACAATCGTTCGTTCAAAGGCTTATTTATACCCTCTTTTCAGCGGACAAGGCTATCCGCCCCCAACATCATGAACTTGGGCATACTTGGCGATTGGTTATAGTCAGGGCGAACATTTGCTTTTTCCCAGAAGAAGTGAGCACTATCGATACCACAACCCTATCGCTGCGAGCTAAGGGCCTCGGGGCGTCAGTGACTGGACATCGAACATCAGGGCTAAGAAGGATTCCCGCTAAGCATGGGGATTCGGCGCAGGATCATGCAGGTGGCCTGGAAAGGGTCCATCTGTCAGCAATGACAAAGCTAGCTCTGCACTTTACTGTGATTACTGTGGCAAGGTCACGGCCGGTACATCTGACCCCAAGCTGCGCTGGGAAACAGTCAGGGCATGAAGATATAGGAATCGACGGTCAGCGCATTCAAGGCCTTGTCGGACGCCAACTCATCAAGGTACTGATCTCCGCCCATCCAAGACGCAACTTGATACCACCAGCCAAGACTTCCAAAGCGCATCGCTGTAGTAAATTCCCAGTACTCCGGGTACCAGCCTCCGGACTCCCAATCGAGAAACCCCGCGAGATGTCCGTCGTCATCCACGAGGATATTATGTCTCTTGAAGTCCCCATGAGTAAACTTGAGCTGGTACGGACGTTGTCGCAGCCGACTCGCCAGCAAAAAAGCCTCCTCGTACTCTTCATCCGAGTCGAATCCATGCCTCGAGGCGGGATAGAAAAGATGGTCGTAGAACTCAGTATGGTTCTTAAACGGGCCCATAACATGGTCGGGGACCCTCGAGCTTCGCAATTCCGTACCAATAGGCGAACAAATGGCGTCCTGACAGGGCGGTTCCCAGCACCGCATGGCTTCGACGCAGATCTTCAGTTCCTCCAGCCATGGGTCCTTGATCTCGTCGTCCAACGGATTGTCGTCGAAATAGTCCAGCGTGATACCAGGCAGTCTTGTCATCAGGATGGAGATATTTCTGTTGAGAAAAGCATTTGGGTGTTCGCCAACGCTGATCACTTTCGGAGCAGGAATGCCAGCAGCTCTGACCATCTGCATCGCGGCAACCTCGCCGAGACTTGTCCGGTTTGTCCATTTCAGAACCAGGCCGAAGGGTAGGTGGATGATGTAGGGGTCATAGATGCCATACCAATGACAGTACCAGCGAGAGAAGTATTCCAGTCCCTTGTGTATGATTCCCCATATCCGCCTGCTGGCGCTGCTCGGTATAGGTGGGACTGGCGGGGTGGATCGTTGGACGGAAGACAACAGTGGTGCGGGCCAGGTATAGTCTGGTGTCAAAATGGAAGGAACGAGCGACCACCCCATCCTCATAAACGCTTTGTGAACTCCAGGTACAAGATTGAAGGGCTGTACTATGGAGGGAATGATGCTTTGGATCCGCCGGGAGATGATGAAGGGATTTGAATGAGCCACTTCGAAGGACAACAAACAGGCCGGATGATTGTTGATCCGCACGGCACAACGGGAGACTATGATTGGCTGGAATCAGGACAGTGTATAGCAGTACCCCTATCACAGGGGGTTAGGCTGTTGGAGAGACATCCTGGGATTTCTACCTGGCCTTACTAAGCCCTTGTCGTGTAAAGACTCTCGAGGCCTGATGCTGCTCCCCGTCCAAGGCCCCGCGGTACCGTTGCCGGGGCATGCATCCTACGGGAAGACAGAACCCTTGAAAACACATTGAGATATGCCGTGTGACTCGACAATTATTTGTTCCCGTATGAGTGTCTAGTTTATGCAAACCCTAAACATTTTCATGGGGCGACTCGCATGGTAAATGCATATGCATCCATGGACGGAATGCCTGCAGTCAGTTCAAACCCGGGGTGCTGCATGAAAGACATCTAAAAGGTTTAATACACGCCCACTATTCCCAGCGTTAATCATTCTAAATCTAGCATCTATGAATACTCCCGCGGTTTTCATATGACTCACCATGTGCTGCTCACCACGCCCAAGGTGGTCTGGCCGGTGGTTCTTATGATCGTGTGGAAGGGCATCGTGGGTGCGTTGGGATGGGTAGGGCAGGAAAAGATTAATATTAGGCAATTTAGATGGAGATTAGGTCAGGAGCGGCGAGGAAAGAGGGATATGATGGTGGTGGGATGGGAGGAACTTGGAAGCAAATCGTTAGGTGAGAAAGGAAATACGGGTATGTTTCACCTATCTTCGCGTTTTCCTAGTGACCTTTGTACGATAGTGTGGAAGATAGACATGTCATGGTTTCCAAAGCATCATTCGAGTCAGTTATCAGGGCTATAGGCTCGAGTCATCCATGCATCTATGGTAAATACTCTATGTATTCAGGAAGGTCCGCAAGGCAACGCTATTGCTACCCAGGTATGCCGGTCATCACGAATTCACCATGTTACATCATATATGTAGTTTTGGGTAGCTTTTCGAGACACGTACCTGCACCGCTTACGCATATAAGACCTGAACGCAAGCTCTGAAGTTGGTAAACTGGATATATGAACGAGAAATCAGTTTTCAACTTCTATTGTCCTGAACGGAGAACCTAATTAGTTTATCTCCAGACCACATAGGATGGAAGCTTTATTCTTCTTAGGATGACTCCTAAAGCAAAGATTCGCATCTATACCCTGTTTATTCACACCTCCTCCACCGAACGCAGCGAGTCAACCGACGAAGACGCATACGCTGGCGGCGCATCTTCAACAGGCCTGGGGAACTGATACGCCAAATCCTTCTTCTCCGACCCTTCAACCTTAGCAACGACTTCGAACGGTAAATCCACCAGCTTAAACTCGTTCGTCTTCCCCGCGCACTCGAAAGAAATAGACGTGCAGAGTCTATACGTCCTGCAGATATTGAACGTCCGGAACGAGACATCCGTGTGTCTAAGCACCAGAGGGCCAAACGCCTGTCCCAGATTGACCGTCCCCGAGACAGGCATATGCAGCGATGGCCGTGACAGGATCTCGATTTTATCGTCCAACTCAGCTGATATCGCACCCTTTATCGATGGCGCGGCTCGTGCCGCAGTCTGACTGATCGCCGTGATGGATACGGATTTAATAAAAATGTCCGGATGGGAAGTAACAGATGAGTCCTCCATATGAGGCAATATATTGAGGAAACAATGTAGAGGCGTAGATTGGACCACGCGAGTGGGATATGAGAGGGAAGCCGTGAAACTGAATTTGGGCAGTTGGCCCGGCGCAAACCAGCCCCGGATCTTCTCGCCAACGCTTAGACTGCGACCTTTATTCTCTGGGAGGAGGAGGATGCTGCGGATGTTAAATACTTGTTCTTTCTGCTGTCGGTATAACTGAACAGTCTGATCGTCTTCGCGAGGGTCCGATACTGCGAAATCAGGCATGAAATTCAGCCGGACTTCCTCTGAGAACAAAGGCGCCTTGCTTGGGAAGAGGCCTCGTTGCGGCTTCATGACTTTCGCTTCAATCCGATAGTCGATCGCACAGGAAACCTTCCTCGCTTCGTCACCGGCCTGGATCGCGAAAGTCGGTGGCAAAGGATGATTCTCGTCACTTCTGTACGGAATCTTGACGGGCCATTTCGTCGAGGATTGAGCAGCAGTCGGAAACTCAAACTCGAATGGCCATTCATACTTGCCCGGTGCAAGGGCTTCGCCGTTCATATGAAGCAGGATTTTCTCCTTCTCGAACAACGCGCATCGACTGCGGTAATTCCCGGCCGGGGCGCCGGCGCCTTTGACTTTCTGGACTTTTGCTTTGGATCGGCCGGTGAATGTTACTCGGATGTCGTGGAGGTTTGTTATACTTGTTGATTCGAAAACAACCCGCCCGCGGATCGTTTCGTTGCCGAAGTAGCATGGCCTTTTGTCGGTGATGTAGATTGTGAGCGGCATTTTGTGTCCAGACTCTCCGCGAGTCGCGATTTCTAGGGTATATTCAGGAGCTTGAGAATGAAGTATGATCAGAATGCAAATTCGGGACAATTGACTGCATTTATAGGTTGATAAATCATAAAAGCCTTTCCCACAGCCCATATATTTATAGCACGCTGATCCAGGGACCAGGGTTGTAGCGTGGGCCTTTCCCGCTACGCATCAACGAATGGGGTCTTCCAGGCAACGAATACGAGATAATTGCTGGATGGGGGATCCTCGCTGTTAATTGGAAGCCCTAATTTTATCCACGGTCCACGGGATCGACCTCTCAAATTCAGACTATCATTGGCAAGATCAAACACAGTTAAGCTTTTATTAGAATTCTTCCGATCCTTTTATTTCTCGGCATCAATCAAGTGTGGGCCATTCTGTCGTAAGTATACCCGAAGCTTTGAGATATATACATCGAAGCCTCTCCCCTTCTCTCCATCAATCAAGGGAGAGAATGAAAATTTACCAGATTCGATGGATTGGAAAGGGAAACAGGACATCCTTGGTAGGGACTGACTACCAATACAGCGCAATCTGATGCCCATAGAAACTATTAGCAAAGTTGACTCCAAGCAATGGGGGTCAAACAGAGGCACCCTGGACCTCCAGATCTCATCAGTGCGAGATCCGACACCCTCCACCAACAGGCTCAGAATGCAGTAGTCGAGGCTAGACATGACTCCGTACCCAATGACCTCTACGAAGAGCCGAAAAGAAAACCTCAATTTCTCCCCGCCAGCCTGGCGCTTCAGTATCAAACGATCCCGGTAGTCGCAACAGACTTGCCCCTCCTATTTGCACTCAAACTGACCATCTCCAATCAAAAGCTCCGTGACTGGATATAGCAAAGTCCCCTACAAAGCCAGCTCAGCTGGTGATCAAACATTATTCTTACGAGCGGCTCGTGTCAGTCTTGGGGGTGAGTACTGAAATAGAACTTGAAAATGCAAGACAGGTTTTCGCAAGACAACTAGCGAGGCAGGCCATCGCATCAACTTTGTAGATCTTTCGGTTACTCTCATGCCCGTCTATTCTTTTCCCTCGGGCCCTGTCTATACCTCAACCTGCCAGCGGAGCGGAGCGCCAAGTCTCCCAGGCAAGCCAAGGTTGACACTCCCGGATATGTCCAAAGCTGTGAATAAGATTCCAAAGCCATTAATTGGTTTTAAGTCACTGTCAATTCACTGGTAGGCACACTAGCCTTATCCCTTGCTTGTGGCTGGACCCCAATGGGCCTGGCTGAGTCAGGGTAGCCCTGTGCATATGCGGCATTTTATCTACCCATGCACGATATAAAGAGTTCTGGAGTAATAATAACACTGGAACACTGATAACTTCACCTGTGCGGTGAATAAAACAGCTGTCACCGTCCTAAGGCGGCATCAACAGCAAGTATAAATACTTTCGTGGTGCCTTCTTCAACTTCCTTTCTACAACTTCCCTTGGCCTCCGTTCCATTCAAATTTTGATCACTCCATTTTCCACATTCATCACATACTTCCATATCCAAGTAACGTGATTCTGAGGTTGCTCAAAGTGCCCATCAAGATGAGCGAGCTTAATCTGAAACGCTTCTACAAGCGCCGCTGCCAGCAGACCATAAAGGATCACAGCAACACTGACGGGCATCGCGAGAAGCCATCCGATGAGCTCACAGTCTTCAAGGTCGACGAAGACGAAAGCGACGAGGAAATGCTGGACGACGGCGAAGTCAACCTGAACAACCACTGGCTCCAAAACTCCGATGGCGCTGAAGATGGCGAAACCACCGAGGAAGACGAGGCCGCGTCCAACCCAGAGCAAGTCCACCAGGCCTTCAAACACCTGACATCGCAACGAGCTGACAAGAACAGCATCTACCAACCCTCCAACCTCCTCGCGTACAACATCGTCGCCCCCGGCGCCGTCAAAACCGACACCGAGATCCGCGGCATGGAAAACCTCAGCGAAACCCTAACCAACGCCATCCTGAACAAGCAGTACCGATACGCCCGCGCCCTCATCGAACAAGCCAACAGGCTCAACAACCGCGGCCACGCAAACATCGTCCTGAACGCCGCCCTCGACGCCGCAACGCAACTCAACGACGTCGTCTTCGTCCGGCTGATCCTATCCCTCGAAACAAACACCGGCATCGACTTCCTCGAACTCCCCATCTACACCGCAACCACAAACAACAACACCGAGATCCTCTCCCTCCTAATCCCGCGCCTCACACACACGCGCGACAAAACCGAAATCACAATCTCACACCTCTTCGCAGCCCCCACCCCCTTCACAGCCAGCGCCTCAACCGCCCAAATCAAAGCCCACCACGCCCTGCACCGCGCCAGCCTCGTCGCGCAATCCTTCCAGCACGCCTCGGCAAAGAAATACGGCATGGTGAAAGCCCTGCTCTTCGAGCCCATCAGCGCCGCCCTGGCAAACCAATACACAGACGGATCCGACACGGTCGACGTGCTCGAGAATCTCGCGAAACACGTCTACGCTACCACCTTCACGCGCGAGCAATGCCTCCATCTCCTCTGTGAGCCCCGCCTCCCGCGCCTCCTCCGCTTCGTCATCCGGGACGTCCTCGAAAACACCACCCCCAAGCTCTCTGCTATCCTCACCGGCCGTCCCGTCCGCGAGTACCCCGTGCACTGGGACGTGCTGGCCCACCATAGCCGGTTCTTTGCGCTCCTTGGCCGCATTGCGGGTGTGCCGTTGCGGACGCCGGAGGGTGTGGACCATAAGATTATGCGTGTTCTTCTGGAGTACATGTACACCGGTGAGATTGACCTTGGGATGATTGGGGTTGGGGCCCAGGGTAGAGAGGACCTTTATGATCTTTGGGATGCCGCGGAGCCCGAGGTCTTGGATATGCCGGGCGTGAGGGTTCTGGTTGCTCAGATGCTGGGGGTATTTGGGGATGCAGAGGAGATTGCCGATGGCGCTCAGGTTTAGGGCCTGGATGCTCAGTGATGGTGATGAAATGCGGGTTTCGGTTTTCCTATGTTTGGTTTTGTTTTCTTCTTTTTTTTTCTTGAATATGTTGCTCAGCATGGTGTTCGGCAGAACGCTTGTGCTTATGTGACATGACATGACATGACACGGCATCCATTGGGTATCGGAGGTCAATTGTCTTCGATACGGATTTCAGTTTAGGCTGCTGTTGGGTTCAAGCTCGCTCGGCCGTCATATGGGTTACAGCATTTCTACTACAATTTCGGGTTCATTTACTTTCAGGTTTTTTTGTCCAGTTCACGATCATTCAAATTCAAATCAGTTTAGTTCATTTCTCGCCCCTACTACTGCTGTAGGCGTGGTGTTGCTGTAGATTTAGCCATGTTTCCCATGATAATCGACCGGACTTGATCTTTGAATCCTCAAGATCCCCGCCAGCCCATAGTCAGGGTTATGCTATACGCAAAAGATCACTGGATAGGGTGGATGCAGCTATTCCTTAGAGTCATGACTATTTGTCGTAGTCATGCAGCAGGTTCTCAACAGCGCGCTTTCATAGAAATCATGGATAAACGTGGGTATCTTTCTACTCTAATAAAGATAAGCTCGTTGTCAACGAGTCCCGATGTCGGTTGGTCAATTTTTTCAACAGAACCAAACGACAAGCCGTCAAACCCCATCCTGGACTGTATCCTCGCCCCGCGCCTCCGCAGCAAGCGCCTCCCTCTCCTCAATCGTCAACTCGCTCTTGGCCTCCTTAATCCTAACAAACAGCGCAACAAGAACCAACCCACACGCCGCAAGCCCAACCTCGAACCAAAACACCGCCTTGTAGCTATCCCTCGCACCCAGATACCCCGTCTCAGTGTGCACAATATCCGCGAAGCCCAGCATGACCGCGATGCCCATGTGAAGAGTGCAGTTGATCAGCGCGCCAGCGATACCCTGCTTCGCTTTGGCGATGTTCGTCGTGATGAAGATGTTCGCTAGGTTGAAGGAGATGTCTATCCCGATTGTGCCGCAGATCATGGCCGGGAAGACGAACGCCCAGTAGTTCCCGCCCAGGGGGACGACGGCGAAGAAGAGGCCTGAGCCGAGGTATCCGAGACAGGAGATCATTAGCAGGATTGTGCCGGAGATAAGGTGGAAGATTAGGCCGCCGATGCAGGAGAGGATGAGACCGCCGACGGCCATGGGTACCGTCCAGGCGACCATTTGGAAGGGGGTTGCGCCCATGTACTCGGACATACTTTGTGCTAGTTAGCGATGAAAACATGGAAGTTGGCTGGGGAGCGTACTATAGGACGGCGTAGAGGAGGAATACCCCGAGACTGCCGTAGAGGAATAGCAGAGCAATCGCTAGCGGCTTCATATACTTGACGGCAAAAATGTCACCAGGAAGAAGTGGATTCTTGACCACCCATCCTTCGACGTACGTAAAAGCCCCTAGGAATACAACACCGAGCACGAAACAGACGGGGATATATGGCGTGCGCCATTGCTCCGGGGCATAGGAGCTATGGGCGATAGCAAAGACAAAAAGAACGGATCCTGCGACAGACAATGCACATCCAGCCCAATCCATGGTGGCGCCGTTCCCTCGCGTCTCTTTCAAGTCACGCGGAATGTATAAGATTGAAGACAGTGTGGTGATGGCGGAGAGAATGGCGCCAATGAAGAAATACCACCGCCACGTGAGGTACTGGCTGCAAAGACCGGAGAAGAAGATGCCAATGAAGAAGCCGAGCGCGGCGCAGGCACCATAGAGACTAAAGACAAAGTTCTTTCGCGGGCCTGGTCGATAGGTTTTCCCCAGGATCATGACACCGGATGGGAGGAACGCGGCGAGGCCGAGGCCCTGCAGCGCACGAAAGATGACTAGCATGAGCCACGACTGCGAGACGCCGCATAGGATAGAAGATATCGTGAGCCATCCGGCGCCGGCAATATAAATCGCATAGCCGCCGAACATGTCCGTTAGTCGGCCGAAGATGAGGAGAGTAGAGGTCACTGCTAAAGATAAGGAAGTCGAGGGCCAGATGGCAGACGCAGCGGGAAAGTCCAGTTCCTCTATCAATGTCGGAAGGAGGACATTAGATCCTGATATGTAGTATTCCTGAAGCATATTAGCATTGTTCGACACAATTAATTCCAAGTGGGCATACCGCCAGAATCTGCGACATGATAATAGAGAAGCAAAATGCGACTTCCGGCCATGCTCCCGAGAATGATGGCGGTCGCTCACGCCCAAGCCTCTCGAGTGATATTTCGTCGAAGCCCCCGCCATTTTCCCGTGTTGGCGAGCTCTGCTCGCATTTTTGACGAACCGTCATCGTCCGATTAGTATAGGTGTGAGGGAACGCAAGCGGCAATCCATAATTTGCGTTGATGCTTTTTTTCGCAAAACGGCAGACTTGCAGGTCTTATAGTCCGCGATGGCGTGAAGTCATGTTTAGGTTTCGTAATGAAAACGGCGTTCTCCCCAGACCTTCTGCTTTGAGTAGTTGAGCGAAGGGACCTAAGACTGGCTCAGGCTTGGCTTCCGGCCACGCGAAAGGACCTCGGAAGCTCGAACAAAGGGTGCAGTGGGGAAGACCCGGATTCTGGACGCTGACGTCGAATCCCGTAAGCCGTTTTAGGAAGTTCAGGGGAGTGGGGCGTCTTGCTATATAAGCAGCCAGTCATGGCTCGACCGGCCCATCTCGAAGATCCAATCGTTCGCCACGTTCGGGCCGCTGTCGATTTTCCTCCAGTAGTCTTGCAGGATGTTGGCGGCGTTCGTGACGTTCAAGCACTTGGTGTCCTGCCAAAACTTCTCCAGAGCTTGTATCAGCATGTCTCGCTCCGGCTGTGCTTGGCACTCCAAGCCTCCCACTGTGATCGGCCAGAGGGTGCACTTGAGGAGGTTGGTGTGCTGTAATAAATTGATGACTTGGATGAGCTCAGATGTCGCGCTCATTTGACTAGTTTGACTTTTTTGAGCGGCGTCGATCACCCGTTGGCCGTAAAGTATCCCACCGAGTTGGTACGCCTTTGCCAGTCTTGTCAAATCATTGATATCGTGTTTGACTGATTCTCGTGGCAGTGTCGAAGCCCAGGTGCGGCAGTCGAAGTCTCGCACGGCATCGAGGACGGAGGTGATGTCTTCAGTCGGAGAGCGATTAGAGGCATCATTCCGCGCGATAATATCACGTTGCAAAGAGAAGAGCTGCACGGCTGTGAGGATGAACTCCGGGCATCCGAGAAATGACTCCTCCACGACATCTTCCAACAGGGTGTAGGACTCTTCAACAGAGGATGATTTCGAGAGTAGGTCTGGCCGGACGAAGGTCGCTCCAAGCGCCTCAATCCTGAACGATAGATTAGTTATCGTGAGTGAAGTCAAGGAGGGGAAGCCAGTACAGGTGGAGTTGTTTGATGATAAATCTTCGTATCCGCTCGACAGTGCGGCCGGGGTCCTGGTTCGGGGTCAAGGCCATTAAAGTCTTCGCCCCTTCCAGATGGTAGTTCCAGCGATCACACCCAGACTCGAGCAGATCAAGAAACACTAAAAGGAACACGCTAGCCACGGTTGTATCCCGGTACGAGTTTCCAGCACCAAGGGATGTTGACAGTCCCTGAATGGCACGATACTTGAAGCGAAGCGCCTCACGATCAGCCGCCGGAGATATGGTAAGAGCATTGTTGCTGGTCGTAGAGAACGGCTGCTCAAAGTTCGCCCGATGACGAGCAGCTAGAGCTAGAACAGCATCAAGAAGGACCGAGTCGTTCAAAGCAAGTGGTATAAGACTTCGAAACGGGTTGTTTACGCTGTCATATACGATGAAGAGCTGGCATATCCGGTCATTGTCTGCGTCTTATCAGTTAAGCGAGACACCCATGCTGCAAAAGAAACGTACAATAGTCCAGGTAGTATTGAGCAGACGGATCCAATTTGGTGAGCGGCTTATCTTTTAGCGAGACCGGTATGCTTGATGGCGGAATTGTGGGGACCAGCTCGTTCGAGGCGCTCTGCTCCAACGGTTCTAGAGGTTTGCCCGATGTCCCTTGGCGGAAGTCGAGGGTAGCAACGGGGTTTGCAGAGACCAGGTCGTTCTGATGAGATCGGCCTCTCATAGCTCCTCGGATAGCGACGCCCTGTACCCATCGGATGGGCCTCTTGTCGAGGCATTTCAGCCCCGCGGTTTCACATTTCCGACACGGGTTTCCGGACCGATCGCATTGGACATGGCGTCGGCGGCAGGTATAACACGCTTCCTGCATTGATTGAGGATCTAATTGATGATCATGCGGTCATTTTTGATGGAAAGAGATGGATGGATGCAACTTTGCCTGCCTGGACGGAACGCACGCACGTGACTCGGCGCAGGCTAACCCCTTTGGGCTTCTTAGTGCCTGAGGTGTCAAACCAGTCGACGGAGTACAACGAAGTTACTGGGACAGACCGGAGTACATACAATGGTTCAGTCAATGCTGCATACGAGGTTATCGACCAGAGTGAGCTGTGACACTTTGTTTGCAGAGGTTCCTGGAGATATTCGTCTCTGAGCTTCTGGTGGGTAACCGTCAAATGCAGAAATTCCTATCAGGACATGTGAGCCGAGGTGGAATAAGTCCGGAGAGTTGGTACTGTAAGCTATCAGACACATGGGAATGGTCAGAGTAAGCACTCAGATTATAGTATTACATGACCGTAAATTATGCAGAAAGAACGCCGCGGTTCAGAACCATAGAAACCCCAGGCTATACCTGGATCCTACTAAAAGGAATAACTAGTTATAGTAGGTAGAAGTCTCTTATATTGCATAGTATACTAAGCTAGGTATTCTAGGGATGGATAAAGAGTTTTATAGTAATTATTTAAGCTAAAAAAACCTTTTTTTACTAAAGCCCTAAGGCCGCTAATAGCCTTAAATATTTATTTTTAGTACTTTTTTTTATTTATACTAAAAACTTTCCTAAATTAATAAGCTATAAGCTGCTAGTATAAAAAAAGTCTTTTTTAAATTAATAAATTATAAATTATTAATATTAAAAAAAGGCTCCCCTAAAGGCATAATTTATAAGTAAGTATTAAAAAACTAGTAATTAAAATAATAAAAAAAGTAAATATTAATAAAAGCTTTAGATATTAATAAGCCGGAGTAGTTCTTAAAAATATAAGTAAATAATAATAAAATATATAAAATAATAAACTTTTAGTAAAAGCTTTAGGCACTAGGTGGCCTAAAAATAAAATAAATAATAAGTAATAAATTAAATAATTTATAAATTTAAGGGCTAGCTAGCATGTTTACTAGCTTTTTTATAAATTTTATAACTTTTTTATAGCTAAAAAAATAATAATAAATATTAAAATATATAAAAGCTATTTTAGGGGTAAGAGTAAGGCCTAGTTTATATAAAAGTTATTAATTAATAATAATAAACTAGTATATAGTAAGCTATCCAGGGATCTTAATTCTTAATATAAGGTAAATTACTTAATATAATAATATATTAAACCTATTAAAGTATATATTTTAAGTATTAATTTTTTTTAAAAAATTTAGTACTAGTATAATACTATATATTTTAAAGGGTATAGCATTAGCTTAGCAGCTATAGTAAGCATAATTAAGCCTTAAATATAAAGTTTTTAAGGCATAAGCTAGCGGGATTATAGCAGGAATTATAATCTTAAATAATAATATTTTTTTTATTAGGGGATAAAATTACTATAATAGCTTATATATACTAAAAGTTAATAATATTATTTAGCTACCTAATTTAAAAAAGTCCTAGGGTTTTAAAAGCCACTAATTATATAATATAACCGTGCTTTAAAGCCTAAAAAAAAATTAAATAAAGGTTTTAATTAAAATAATTAATAAGCTAGTTATATTAATAAGCTTATATTTTAGTATTTAAAAATAATATTTCCCATGGGTAAACATAAAAAGCGCTAGGAATTTTATTAAACTAGGCTAAAAATATATTAACTTTTAATGCCATGGTTAGGGCATTATATAAAACCAGGGTAAAATTTTAAAATAAGGTAATATTATATTACCTTTACCGCAGGGTTAATTCTTAAAAATAAAAATAAAATAATAATAAGCTAAAAATAAAAATAATTAAATATAGTTTTATAATATATAAGTTATTATAAATTTAGTATAAAAAAGGCTAATTTTAGTATAAAAATTACTAAAAAACCTACTTACATAAGTTTAAAAAAAATCCCTAATAAGGTTTTAAAGTATTTAAATATCTTAGGCCCTAGTAGCTTAGTAAAGCTATTTATTATTTATTTTTTAATAAAAATAAATTAAATATTAATAACACCTTTAGCCTTTTTTTTAAATAAAGTAATACTAAATATTAATATACTTATTTTAAATATAAAACTAGGGGTTACTAGCTAGTACTATAATACTTTTATTATTTTTATAAATTATAATAACTATAAAATTTACCTCCTGGGTATTTATAAGCTTTTTTAGCAAGTAATAAAGTTAAATAGCTTTTTTAATAACTTATGTTTTTTTTATATATTTAGCTTTATAAAAAAATAAAGCTATAATAGGCTAATACTTAAAAAAACTAGTTAATAATTATAAAGCCCACGTGAAATATATATTTAAAAGTAAAATAATATATTTTTAGGTTATTACCTTAATTAGCATTAGTATAGCTAGTTAGTAGCTAAAATCTTTTAAAAAATACTAATTTATAGTTTATAAAGCCTTAAAAATAATAAAACACGTGCTTAATAACTATTACATGTTTTTAGTATAGCTAGTTAGTAGCTAAAATTTTTTAAAAAATACTAATTTATAGTTTATAAAGCCTTAAAAATAATAAAACACGTGCTTAATAACTATTACATGTTTTTTTTATAAATTTAGTAAAAAAATAGCTTAAAATAAACACGGGGTAGGTAATATTAGTTTAAGTACTTAATATAAGGTATATTAAGAACTTAATAGTATTTTAATACTACTTTAAAATATTTATTAAAGTTAAGTACTTTTTAAAAGCAGGCTTTAGCTTTAAGCAGGGATTTATTAGCATGCTATAAATTTTAAAGTTATTTATATTAAATTAATAAAAATTTTTATTTATATAGCTAAGCTAAAAAAGCTAAAATATTTAATTAGCCTAATTTTAATAAACCTTTATACTAAGATAGTAATAGCACGGGCTAAAATTAAATATTTTAAAATATTTACTTAAAGTATTTTTAATTTTTTAAATCTAGATTTTATTCCTGCTAACCAGCAAAAAATTATTTATATATATAATAATAAAAATTTTATTATTAATAAAAACTTTTAAATTTAAATAAATACAATAAAAGCCTAATATAGTTAAAAAGTTTATAAATAATTAGTACTAAATTTATAGTACTTACTTTAAGTTATAAAAAGCCTTTTAAAGCTAGTAAACATACTTAAAACTATTAATAAAAAGGTAAGGTTACTTTATAAAAATTATAATATTAATATCCCTATATAAAAAAGCTATTTTTATATTTATTTATTTAATTTTAAGGTCCAGCGCGGTAGTAATAATAAAAAAAAGCTTATAATTTATTAACTTTATTATTTTAGTAAAAGTTTTATAATAGTTAAGCCTATAAACTTACTTAAAATTATAAATTACTTAATAAGCTTTATAATAAAAAATCTAGCCTTTTAGTTTTTTTTTAACTTTTAAAACTTATTTACTAGAAAGTAAGTATTTTTTAGTTAGTAAGTTAATAAGATTTTAGGTCTTATTTTTTATTAAAAAATTATATTTATTTTATATACTTTTAAATTACTTATTTTATTTACTTTTAGCTTTAGCTTGCTAAACTATTAATTTATTTTTTTTAAAAAATTTATTTATAAAGTATTATAACTAGTACTAAAATATTATTTAAGCTAGGCTTATTAGTTAGTACTTAAAAATTATTTAAATAAGGTTTACTTACTAGGGTAATCCTATTTTATATAGCTTTAATAATATTTTAAAAATAAAATAAATAAGCTAGCTTATTTAAAATTTAAAAAAGCCCTTTTAAAATTAATAATAGGCTAGGTATATATATAATATACTAGGCTAGTATTATAAAAGTTAAAATTTAAGTTTTTTCAAAATATATTAACTTTAGTAGCTAAGTTAATAACTTTTATTATTAAATTTTTAAGGTTTATATACCTAAAAAGGTCCTTAAAAGCTAGGCTTTTTAAAAATTTATTTTTAAGGTTTTTTTTAGTATCTAGGTTAGCATTAACTAGTAAGTTTTTAAAAATAAAAATTTCTAAAGATACTAAAGCTTTAGGTACCTTAAAAATAAAAATTCTTAAAAATTTTAAAGCTCTAGGCAGTACCTTAAGGATAAAAATCCCTAAAGGGCTTAAAGGTAAGGCCTTAAAAATAGAAATTTTTAAAGGCACTAAAACCTTGGGAATAAAGGTCCCTAAAGGCATTAAAGTAGTTACTTTTAAAAAATCTAGCCTAATATAATAATTCTTAATAATATTAATATTATACATTAAAACCACGTGGCTATTATTTAAAAAAACCTAGTATAACTTATTTATTTTTTTATTAAAACTAACTAGCCTTTTAGTTCTTATTTTACCATTTTTATAAAGCTTTTTTACTTTTTTAATAGGTTTAAAATATAAACCTTAAACTAAAAAATATAAATATAAAAAATATTTAGTTAGTGGCCGTACTAGGCTTTAAATAATATAATATTATTTAATATAAAATATAAATTTTAATTATATAATTAACTAGTATTTTTATAAAACTTAAATTATATATTAGCTAGGGCTTTAGTATTATATAATATAAATTATATAAGGTTAAGTAGCTTATTAATAAGTACTTTAATATAGCTATTTTATTTATACTAGTTTATATTAAATATTTTTATAATAGCTTTAAAGCTATAAATAAAATATTATAAGTTATAAATATTTTTTCCTTTTTAATTATAACATACATGGCGCAGCGGGAGTTTAGGCATGTTATATTAGTAAATAATAAAAAAAGCCTAGGTAATAAATTTATTCTTGCTAGCTAGTATTATAACCTAGTAATAATAAAATTTATTATTTATAATAAAGTTAATATATACCTTTTTATTAAATAAAAGTAAATAAAGGCTAAAAATATTTATATAAAAAAGTTTAAATAATTAATTAATAAATATTATAATACTTTTATAAGGCTTAGCCCGCTAGTATATAATAATATAAAATTTATAAATATAACCTTTAGGC